TTGCTATGCCAAGATTGAAGATAGTGTCTCAAAACTCCTAGGTAAAACATTTGTTTATTTGAACGCGTATCGTTCTAAATTTTATGCGAACGATAGTGCTAAACAATGATGCAGCTTTTGAAACAATGATGCAGCGTCTGAAAAAAGAAATCACAAGTGAATAACCTAAATTCTTCTCTAGCTGAATGCTTCTAAGCTCATTGACAAAGATTCAAATAGTTCTGATCAAGCTAAAATCTTCAAATGTCGTGATGCGATAGGTAGTGATGCTAGTCTAGTTTGAAAGAATGAATTTTCGAATAAACATTTCTGGGAAATCTTGGATTGTCTCCGATGATGCATTTTTTCTGTTGATTGTGTACAAATCTCAGAGAAAAAAAAGATTCTCTTCCAAAATGTGGCTCTTCTTTTTTGGTTCTCTAATTTCAATAATATGAACGAACGAATGATTTTTCTGAAAGGTTCGAAAAGGCTCATCAACCTTCACTTCTGAGTATGCAAATGTTTGAAAAAAAACCGCACTATATGCTACTCGAACAATTCTGCTCCAATTAAATATTTGGAAATGCGCCATATGACTTAGGTTCAAAATAAAAAGGACAGCTATTGGTAAACAGTGGAAAATAGCAGTTTCTCCAGTTTCCTGCGATTGCACAAACCAAGTCTGCTTTACGTTATTAAACGTAGCATTCAGAACTACAATTAAAAATATTTTCAGAGAATATTACTTGTAGCTGAATGGAGATTGTTTTCAGAGAACAATTCCCTTTTAACCGAAACGCTTCACAAAAGAAATAACTTGCCGTTTGCCAAAAAAAAATCCTCAGTGCTTCTGAACATGTTGAGATATCCAGATTGAAATTCTGATCGGAAGCAATGACCGCATTTTTTTTTGAAAGGTGATAAGCCGAAGCGGGCAATAAGCAACGAAAGCATAGTTTTTTGTCGCAGTGAAATTCATTTTTGGGAATGTAAAAGAAACGTTTAGAACGTTTCACGTCATTCACTCCTCGTTTTTTCCTAGAAAACGATGGTAATGGTTCCTTTACAGATTTCAGCAGAATTCAGGAACATTCATTCCATAGAATTTTCTACATTGGATTTGGACGATGAAAAAAACGTAGACAGCTTCCATAAATTGCATATCAGTAATGAATTATCATATGTTATGATCATTTCCGCTGAATTTCTCATGCTTATGACCTAATCTACATATCGTAGTTTTTGCAGCGGAAGCGTTCTGGTAGAGTATTTCTATGTTAACATTATTCTTATGTTTGATTCAAGCTGTACAATTCGATATGCATTTCCACTTTGTAAATGTCGATTATCGGCTAATGCTTCCAAAACTTATTATCAAAAAAAAAATTTTTTTTTGAAAAAAAAGGAAACATCAGAAGACGAACGACAATATGTTTGTATTGTCAATGACTGTAGTCCTGAAACCTGTTCCAAAACTACAGGACAATTTTTCAACGCAACTCAGTCCAAAAGATCTGATTAACCGCGTTTTTTTTGGTTTTCGCAATATTTCCCGACGTAAGTTTGTTTACATTTATTTTGCCGCACCGCTGCGTCTATCTATATGCATGAAAATCTTTGAACTGGCAATTCAAAGAATGAAAAAAATTTTCACACTAGGCAGCGAAAAAAAAATCCACATTTTTCTAACACTCAAAATTTGCCACTTTGTTGAATCAAACGCAGTTTGTTGTGCTTGATTAAACATATATTCCTCTTCGTTAAGTAAACAATCGCATTATTTACATGCTGTATAACTATTTGTCATTTGGTTCAAATTACTCCCTTATCATCACACGTTCAAAACTCAACATGTCGGTTAACTAATTTATGTTAAATGTAACTTCAGAATTACTAATGTCATCGAATATCACCCAATACTTTGTTAAGTATGTATTTTCTGCTACCAAGTTTTTTTTTGTATTATCATGTTCTATAACAAAACTTTCCTCAACTGATTTCCACCTACTACTCTTATACAATCCAGTCGACCATCAAACTTCTACAAATCTCAACCTACAACCACAGTCTCGAAAGTATGCCTTATCACCATGCAACTACATGTCACTGCCTTCCAAGCAGTTCCCAGCGCCACATCCTTCATTTTTGTATATCTCTCAGCTTGAGAACAAGCTTACTCAGTACCCCCAGGATGAGGTGAAGGTCGTTGGTTGGTTATCCAGCTCGCCTAAACCAAATTCCCTACTCGATCGATGAATCTGAGGATAATGGTACCGAAGTCAAAGTTCTTTATGGTCTCGCCGTATCACGTGTACTCCTTACACACGTTACTCGGAAGACATTCAACAACAGCCAAACAAGCTCGAGGACGAGCTTTCTGAAGGAATGGAGATGTCGGGACGCAGCTATTACCTAACAGCTGCTCGCGATGGAGGTTGGCCTAAGATAGCGAACCACTGGCAGTGACCTCCGCCCGCCGGCAGAAGCCGGTGCTCTCTTCCCCTTTCCCTTTCCCCTTCTGTATATATCTTGTATAATAAATATTAGAGTAAGACTTATGTAAACCCGCTACACCATCAGGTAAAGGAGTAGCTAGCCTTTATCCTGACAAAGCTCAGAATGCTGTGAAAAGTTGTCTTATGAAATCAGCACATGAAAACTACCCTACTATATACTTTTACGTAATTCAAAAATAATGACGGGTCTTCAAAGCAGGTCAAAGGGGACTTCGTACGAAATTTTCAAGGTCAAACAGGACTTGTTTTGAAATTTCCCTGGCCAGCCCGTGCCGAGCCCTGCTACGAACTTCTCCCATTCAAAAGGGTAAGTCATAAAACCTAGACCAAAAGTAAATTCAAATGTAGACGTTTTAGCAATCAAAAATCGAAAACTCACTTTTTGATTATTTCTCTTAATCAGCTTTTATCGCTCCCATAGATCCTTAGGGAATTTTAGCTCAAGCAGATTTTGAAAGGGCAAGATTTACTCCTTCCACTATCTAACAAACCAGATGATTTGATTAGTGCTGGAGAAAGTAGCAGAATTTCAAAAAAATTGCTGCAAGATTTATGCATCAACCTAATAAATGTAGGCGGAATTAGTCATATATCTACAATTATATACAAAAGTTGGCAGAAGACATTGTGTGAAAGGGACATTAGCGATCGAAGATTGCGTAGAATTTGGTTTGAGACACCCTCTACATACTGTAAATATCGATTTTCGAATCTTCGATGAATAGAATAATTGAATAGATGATTATTGAATAAACAAGTATCTAGCAATATTGAAAGCTGAAATTTTCGAATATTCGGCTTTCGAATAATATTCAAGAATACAAATTTTTAAGTGTTCCCCACTCTTTAGTCGAAATCAATATTTGAAACAGAGTCATTCACATTTGAACGATTGGTACTTTTCCGTTATTCGGACCCATTTTTTCACGAAACGATACTGCTTCAATTCTTGTACCATATTTTGTCCCAGCTTCACAGGAAGGAGTGCCTTCTGCCACGTGTCAAGGAAATTTGACATGTCATCTACATGTTTAACAGGTTTTGTCAAGAGTTTGTATTACCCTACCTAGCGATACCAGTTTAATCTGTTTTTTAGTTAATTTTAATCTCATTCTGATCAAACAGTTTCAAAGTGAACATTGTCATAATGATAGCGACATACTATCATCGATGAACAGATTAGACTTGCTCAGGATAGAGAAGTGCTCTAGAATTCCGTCATTTGAAAGGCGAAATAAGCAGCAGCAAGGTTTTTCATGCTGTCATTTACAGTCTTTTCGGCTAAATCCGCATGGAGAACAGAGTTTGAAGAGAAATACATTTTTTAGTCACTGCTGAAGGTAAGCAATGTGTTCTAGAATAAGTTCATGATTATTTTGCGCTCATATAAAACAGTTAAACAGCTTTAAAATGATCACAAATTCTCTTTTATCTCACCGGAAATGATTTCGAAAAAAAAGCATGGCAAAATGGATCAAAGCATGTCAAATTTTTCGTGACACGTGGCAGAAGGCAGTCCTCGTAGAATCTATGAAAAATTATGGTTAGACTAAAGAACGTATAATATGAGAGCCTTTTGAAAAAATGGGTCCGGATAACGGAAAAGTACCGAATGATTTACTCGACTGGTCAAATAAATATTCGATTCGGTCCAAAGTATACAAGCACTTGTGCAGGGGAGTGGAATTATGCTAAGATAATCAGTGAGTTATTTAACATTTGACATTTATTGCATAGGAGTTCCTACGTGTTGAAACTCGACATAAAGTGAATAATAACGAACAGGCAGGGATTAAAATCAACAAGAAACGAGGTAGATGAACTGAAGGAGAAGAAAGATAGTTTTTGAGAATGGTTTTAAATTGTGCCAATTTAACAGGAAATCTATTCTTCCTAACAAGCTTGTCAGTTTTATGAGTAACTCGATCTACGAAGAAAATCCTCCTCACATTTTTCCTAGGCCGTGGTATGACTATTTTGTCTGTGCCTCCCCTAGTTATAGACCTTCTTCTCTCTCTCAAAAAAAAAATTGGAGCACTGAGGTTGCAACTTCCGAAAAGAATCAATGAGCCATTATCAGATCAAAAGCGCGTCTTCTAATAGCAAGAGGTTCAAGAGTTTATCCTTTCACCTGGATTGTATTCTCGTCCGCTATGCAGGTTTGTGCGATGCGGAATGTGAATACGCTTTATGTACCTTCCCGCTGTCATCAGCTACCACATCGTTTAGTTTTTCTTTACAGAACTACACAACACGAGATCCTCATCATCTTCTAGACAGGTTTTCAGGTTTAGCTGACGTTAGATTTCATAACTCTGACTCATTACGCACACAATACGCTCCTTATCGGTATGCTTAGAGCGCAAGTCGTATAAAATGATCTTGTCAGCAATCGACCCTGCTTTTTTCGCTGCTAACCTGCCTATTGTTCTAGGTAAAACTCAAAGAAAACAATTTTTTAGAAACCAGAATGCTGCTTAATCATTTTATTTTAGTAGCATAATGTCAGGTCCCCCACCATACTCCACAGATAACAAACAGGTTAGTAACAGTTTTCAACAAACATCGGATTCAAATATTAAGACATGTATTCTGAGGGTTTCTGGGGCGGCTGCCAATCAAACCATAAAAATTTTTCAAAATACTCGTCTTTTTTTAACAAACTTTATCAAGCGTGTATATCAAATCATACTAGTCAATGATTGTATAAAAAAAAATGCCCAAAGCAAACTCTCGATCGGAAGTAGAATTTGATATCGTATACTGTCATTTCCTCACGGTTCTCAATGGTTTGTAGGAGCTTTTGATACTTTGCACTTTTGAAAGATCCTAAATGGTTTTTTTCCTAGCCCTTTTCCTCTAGTTTCCTTTCGCCTCTGGACATTGTATCTCTCTCAGGTCGGTATTATTCCAATGAACTTTATGTGAGAAATCTGGAAATTATTTGCGCTGCCCATTTTTAGTAGGCACTGTAAAAACAACCTGAACGCTAGTCGTCACCATACTGATGCTATTATAAACACTGATTTTAGATCCCACAACCTCCACAACCAAACTATCCCCAACAAGCAACGTATGCTCAACCAACCTACATTCAGCAACCTGCTTACGTTTATCAGCAACCAGCTCATGTGCAGTACACCACTTATCCACAGACAATTTACACCACGCAACCGCAGACTATAATGTGAGTTTGATAGAAGGTTTTGGTTTAATAGAGTGTGGAAGCCTCGCAGATCTCACATAATCCTCGAATTTCAGAGTTGACGACTGCCATCATCATCACCACCGGCGAGAAGGAGGCGAAGGAGCAGGCAACCTGTGCTGCTTGATTGCTGGACTAGCTTGCCTCTGCGCTTTGTGCCGCAGATAGTAATTGTCTGTTTATAGTCTTCTTATATCTCACATCAAACAAGATTACAGAATCAGTAATTTTAAACCGCCGGCTTAGATATATATGATAAGCAGAGCACCATAATGTAGTACAAAGTGAAATGAGGTCATAAACTTTTGGGGTCTACTAACCGGAAATTTTGGCTTCAGAAAAAAGTGCCCTCATATCAGTTCATTTCAGTCTTAGTAAAGTACAGTTATGTAGATTGACTAACATATTATTTTGGTTCTCTTGAGCGTTTCATTATCAAGGGGGATAACAGGGTATAAATGCTAGCATGTTTCATTAATAGGGACACTTCTCTGGAATATTACATTCTACCTGTACAATAGTGATTACATTTTAGACGCAACAAAGATCTAGGTTTCTAGGCAGCATCGTGACAATTATGGTTGCTCCATTCATCTTTCAAAGCTAGAACAATATTATAGTTGCTCTGGCTCTACTCTAGTTTTTCCTTCTCCGGCCATTCTAATCCTGTTTCAACGTTTTTCATCTTTTTGCTTTTGGGCTAACAATAAGTAGGAAAAATCGCTGTTCTACCTCTCATTACTAACTCTCTATCTTTGTGTTGTAATCTGCTATACCTCATTTGCATACGATTCTGACGGACATGTAATTCGATACATCAGTGTACATGTAGAGTAATGTGATGTGATTTATGTTTGTTTTGCTGATAAATCCCTCTTTAGTTAATCGAGATAAACAGTTCACAATGGCAAATTGTGTCAGTACAAAGACCAACCGCATCGTCAAATTTTTGCCGCAGTGAGTAAATAATGGTTCCGTGGCGCAATGTATGAACAGCGAAAGATCTACGAAAAAACCTTGCGCTTAATATTTCGTGGGGGCATAAATGTGTTCGTTTTTTACTGTCAGCTATTAAGCAAAGTAAAATACAGTGTTTGCTGAATTTGTGGGGAACTGCGAACATGCCTAGAGTTTTGTTGGGAGGTGTTGGGAGAAGGGAGAGGGGGGCGAGAGAATTCAACGAATTGAATGCATAGCAACGGCGGAACTTTTATTGGCACGTGCAGGTTTTCCACCTTTTTCAACATCCTGCTAGTGTTTTTTCTTCTTCGAATTTTATGCTCAAGCGACAAAGGTTCTGGCTTCGTTCATATGCGCCAATTCAAATGTCATGGAAAAACTTCGAGAATTATCTCACTAATCGGCTTCAAAGGTCATTCCCATACTTCACTCAGCTCCGCCCACTCCCTCGAACGACTCGAATTACACAGGCTCACGGGGCGTAGCATTTCATGGCATTCGCCGCGCATTGTGTGACTCAGCACTACGCCATTTTTCGCTTTTATCACACGTGTACATGACTCACTATCGGAATTTCGTCCGAACATCCCAACCCGCATCGATTGTCCCATTCCTAACATTGTCAGAATAGCCTTCCCTACGTCGAGCGTTAGTTATCAGTGCTTTGCGCTTTCCGTTAGATAAGCTTATAGTATCGATTGTGAGACGATTAGCACATAAATACATGATAGTGAATGATTTACTATATTTAGCTGGCGTGGTGAACGCTGAGAAACATCTTGTCCATTCTTTTCTACATCATCAAAATTATTTATCAACATTAAATGGCATTCGATGAATCCGAAGACATCTTGATATCATCTAGCAGTATTCGCTTGACATACCAAATACGTCGAAGAGAAAAAATATTTGCTTCCTCACCCCAGGGGATTTCGTCTAAATCAGTATTTCCACCCGTCCAAAATTATCGATAAGGCCTCAGAATTTGATTGGACAGTACTCGACTGCTCCAGTTACGTGCTACATTTGCCTGAGGCATTGAGAACATCCCTCAGGGTTGCCTAATGTCAACTTATCACTCCCTTTTTTTTCGTATCTAGTATGTCTTCAATGTCTTATTGATGTCAAATGACTTACATCTTGTCTTGTTATTGTAGATTTTACGCCTACTAATCTGAGTTCTAATCGGTGTGTTATGCGCTCGTTATCTACGTGTAAAAGCCGAATTTTTATCGCCATCCTTTCCTTATTTGTTATTCTGATATTGCTGCCCTGTTGTTTATATTCACTTATGTCAGTAGTCTCAAATTACAGCAAAGCAAGAAAGATAGGTGCGACCTCGCCGTTCGGTCCAATCCATGGATCAAGTATTTTTCATGAATGCAGCTTGAACAATTTTCCTAATTTCACGTGTACAGGACGCATTTTCTGAATTTGACCAGCCTGAGCACATCAAAACATTTCGCGGCCAAGAACCCTATACACTGCCGCGTATCATGAGAGTATCGTGTGGTATAAGTTTCTTTCCGAAAAACAGACGAGGCGGCTGAACGGCTCGCTTGAAAATTGAAGATGCGTCTTGTACATGGAAATTAGGGTACGAGATCTACCATATAAGCAAATCTCGTCCAGATGACTTCATAGGCGGTCGGGCAGGAGGCAGCAAAGGCCTGCCGCTTCTGCTTTTGGAAGTACCTGAAGAGCTGCAGAGTTCCTCGCGCTTCTAATTACTTCTTCGCAACTCTAAGAATCTATTCGATGTGGCCTATGCCCAATTATTCGTAAACTTTTGTGGTGAGGTAGATTGCGAGATATAGGTTTTATGTTTCATATTCAAAGCGAGATGAAATTGTAAGTTTCAAAAAAGGTTTATAGAATTAGACCAATTCAACATCGAAGGCGGTATAAACGTCAGAATTTTGAGTGGATATGGAAGTATAACTTGATCTATCAAATCTTCAAATAGGACTATTTAGCATATTCTTGTAAATTTTTCGTCATGATAATTCCGATCGAAAACAAGGACTTCAGAGACTGATAGCTACGTTCTTTATTTTGCGACAGTCTTAATCCTTTCTACTCCAAGAATTTTGAAGGAAACTGCTTTGAACCCGATTTCTGTAGGCTTAAACCGATTATAACTGAGACTGAAAGAAGTTGCATTTTAACTTGATCTAAAGTAAAATACTCTTTAACGAGCTTTTTGTTTATTTTCTTGCTTGTGATGTAATCAAAGGTGCGAAGAATGATCAGAGGCGCGAGAAACTCTAGGGCTCCCCAGGCACTTCCAGAAGCGAATGCGGCCAGCCTTTGCTGCCTCCTGCCTGACGTCGGACTTCATAGCTCACGATATCAAACAGTCCAAAATAAGTGGCTTAGGATTTGTGGATATCCTTCTGTTCTGTCGTCCGCATTCCATTTTGTGCCAGAAACTAAGTAAAGCCCCAGATAAAGTGGCGCTAACCAACCTTCTCTAAGCAACGAGTTCTCGAGTTAAAGTATCTATCAAGAATCACATCGAGGAACAGTTAAGAAGAACACTTTTGATTACTTCGGCTTTTCGACCGGCGCGAATCATCTCGGAATCTTTCATATCTTTTATTTTAAGGGGTTTTAGCGTTGTCATCCTCGAAAATTTTGATTCGTCATGTGAAATAAGCGGGGGAAGGGCATTCCAAGTGCTCGATTATTCATTTCCTTTGTATGTCTGGGAGGGCAGGCGTTATGGAGCAAAGCTTACGCCGCGTTCCCCTGCGGTATATCCTGAGGGCCATTTGCGTCGCGTCGCTTTTAATTGCGCTAAAGTAGCGCTGCTCCTGCCAGCGGATTGAGCCATTCTCTATTACCACGACCTGATATGTTGAAACTGTATAAATGCAATAAGGACAACAAAGAAGACGGCAATTTAGAAAATTAAAAAAATAAATTTTTAGGGATGATTCAAATGCTGAATCTGAGATGATCCAATGCTTAATTTGAGTTAAAAATGTTCAAAAGAAAAAGAGCACGAGAATTAGTAGAGAAAAGGGACAGAAATTTTCCGCCATGAGTTTCCAAGAGAAATTAACTTACTCATCTTTTATTTTCTCTTGGCTTGCTTTGCAGGCTTTTCCTCGTCATACTCTACATTTGATTCGCCCTTGAAATGTGCTTATCATTCACATTTTGATCTCTTTATCTATGGAGAGTGAGGAAAATGGGAAAATGGCTCAATTCGCTCGGTAGCGCTAGCTCCTCTGCGACTGCAATTAGGAGCGACGCAACGCAAAGGGCCCTAGGATATACCACAGGCAATTGCGGCGTAGCTTTGCTCCATAACGCGGCGCCGCCGTATGTCTGTATGTTAATATGAAAGGCCTTCCTGTGTGCCTCTTCGGACATTTCGATGAAGTAGAATTGATTCTGTTTACTATTCATGTAGGAAAAAAGATTAAATCATCAAAAATCAAATTCAGACCAAGTGCTGACCTCCAATTTTCCAAACACATCAGCCATTTTAGAGATGAATTTATTAGTTACAAATAACAGTCTTCCCTCGAATATGATTGAAAGCACTGAGGCTACCTTTCTTCTATGGTATTAGATGTAATTCAGGTAAATTTCAAGCGTATCCATGCTAAGCTGCACTGTGATGCAAACCTTTCTTCGGATTCCGTAGAGAGAAGCTTCAATGCTGAGTCAACATAAACGAGCTCTCGCGTCTTTGCGAATATTTCATGAAAGCAAATAGACTCCTCTTCTGTTCAAAGTTTCGTTACAGCGTTGTCGATTGGAGTTTACAGCACAAATTATTTACAGATATTGTCGTAGCCAGACCTATGTAACTCGTAGTTCGCTCTAATTAACTGTGCGATGATGATACACCTGCGACTTGCTGACGCCATAGCATATAACTCGGAACTCCAAAAAGACTAGCGGAGCGAACAATTACTGCAGCAAATTGCTTAGCTAACGACTATTCAGACTGTTTTTATGGTCAGACGGGAAACAAATTGTGGAAATTATTTATGATGAAATTATTACCTCTGTCGAACCTTGCTCCTTTGATTAGGCTTCTCCTTCACGATAGCCAAGCCGAGATGTGTCTTTCAATCTTGCCTTCAAGATTTATGGGTTTAAAGGATAAATGTATAATCCCGATTCGTATAGCCTTTTTCTTATCGATTTTCGATTCCACAAACTTCTGGTTATTTGCTGTTTTTTTTCCATTTGCCAGTGAGTTCGTAAGGCAAAAATCATTATAAATGTTATCTACTTGTGACAAAACTCCTCCCCTTTTTCCTGGGAACTTCTTGAAGCTCGTATTCCTTCCTATTTTTCTGTACTAAATCGATTACAAAAATCTGGTATAACCTTCATTCAATGTTAAGTTTGCTAGTAACTGGCCTAAATGTAGCTGGCACAGGCTTGGGGGCTTGAATTGTAACCGCTTTGAAGTCTACAGTTGCTGGATTTGATAGAACTCAAATTGGAATCCGAGGAGATATTCCGAGGCAGAGCGTTCACTGTGTGCATCACGCTGTCCAGAACGTGAAGTCAGTCGGTTCCGCGTTGAGTTATGCAAGCTCCAATCAATTTTTTGAACTCTCGTTTTATCTCTTTCTATTTTATTACCTCAAACGTTTTCCTTGTACAAAACAATATTCGTGTATGAATCTTCTGGAAGCATTCTCCAAGGCGGATCTCAAAATCACGAGAACTCACTCTTCTATGCAATCAGAGGATATTCAAAATTTGAACTCGTCGATATAATCAAAATAAAAGAGAACTTTCTGAGAAAGGGATAAATATTTTGTCAACGTCATCAATTTGAAAATCATCTTTGAAACAGCTGTCAACCTTTTCTAAGCTAACGTTTAAATGCCTTTTTATTGCATTATGCGTATATGATGCACCCTCATAGGCGATCGACTAGTACCGTTATTATGCACTAATGAGAATGTTATTGGACTGAGTGGATTGAGTCAAAGTCAGAGTTCTAGGTTCATATAATATAGTCTGGCTCCATCGTAAGTTATAATGCCGTGGACGATATGTACCGACCGAGTTGGAGGTTCGCAGAATCTTTTTGGATGGGGATCTGATTCTTGGATAATTGAATTATTTGGATATTGCTTTCAATTTCCACACGAATCTAATTTTTGCGATTTGTCGAAAGCAGACATGTAGAGGTTGCTTTGCTCCATCGACTGATATGTTTCTCACTTTTTTGTATCCAAACCGCAATAGGAACCTGCATTGATTTTCGGACACCTAATACATCAAACAAGCTGTGCCGGCGCGATTGTGTAAATGCTTTTTCCGGCGAAAGGCACCGCTGCTGAGTCAGCTCAAACATTTAGCTCTCACGACATCGTGAATTTTTCATAAAGCAAACATCTTTCTCTGTTGTTCAAATGTTCCGTCTACGTTATCGATTCAGTTCTATATCACCTCTTTGTATTTATGTTGTAGTAGAACTCAAGCTTCAGCCAAACCTCAAGCGATTTCAGTCGCAACACGATTCGGCAATACTACAATTGTTTATCAGTCATCGTGCGCGCGTGCTAAATGCACAGATGAACGGCATTCTATAAATCTCTAAAAGTTGCGCAGACTTTGGATTTGCGGTCTGCCAGTGTTGAATTTGAATAGATCTGATAAATTGTCAGATTGCTGGCGGCTAAAATCGCGTGAGGTATAGCCAAGGCCTTACAGCAACTCGTAAATCTTTTGAATAGCTAAGGCTAATGATATAGTACGACGCTATGATAACAATTGACGTCACAGCATACACGCCCGATACTTTAGAATTTAGAATCTTTGTTGAACGAGCTTACATAGCAGACAATTACCGTGGAAGATTGCGTGATAAACGGCTAGACTGTTTTTGTGGTTAGAGGGAAAACATATTACTGAAATTATTCAAGCTAACAAGTACCCATGTTGCCGGGGCTTGCTATTAGTCGTGCTATTATGAAGAGTTCGCTTTCTTGTTCAAGTTGAAATATGGCTTTCGTTTCCGCCTTCAATTAACTTGATGCCTCAAGAGAGTAAATCTCTAAAAGCAGCAAAGTGCTCAAATCTTTCAAATTTATGCCCAAATAAACTTGATTTCTCAGTCTATGTTTCAAATGCATTGTTCATGAATAATTTGGGCAGCAGTATGTATGGCCTTCGTTGCCATTAGGGAAATCAATTCTTCTGATGCATTCTGATGCATGGAATGTTAGGAGTCCTGCTCAAAATTTTGAGGAACTGGAAATATTAAGTTTGAATATCCCCAAGCACAATGTTTCGTCGTTTCAAACTGTTATATCTTTGCATAATCTCTTCTTGATACATCAAAATTTGATTTTATTGTTCTTGATTTTTTGTTCATCCGATAGTTTTAGAGTGTTACTAATGAATTTATAAGACAAAACCGTTTTTAATAGTGCAAAATATAACTTTCCTTACCTTCTTCCAAAAATTTTTCAAGTCTATGCAAGTTGTTGCTTTTGTATGTATCGGACGAAAAAATTGAACGTCGGAGTATGACATTATGTCAAAGCTTAAGATTCTTTTTCACTTGCGTGTCATTTATGACATGGACAAGCTTCTTAGAAAACGATTATTTCCTGCTAAGTTGTCTTCGTTTAAGATTGTTCTAAGGAATTATCTACAGTCACACGATGATATTGTTACTAACACGGGTTTGAGTACTACTACCTGAATTTTAAGGTTGTGTTGACATACTTATTTGTTGTTTGTGTTGATTGTTTTATTATGATTTGCCATAGGGGCAACCCTGTATAATAAATGAAATGAAATGAAATTTAAAGCCAATAAACAGCACTAAGTTTCCTCATTTTTGGTGTTCTATTACCTTCTTTTTTATGGCTAAATATGAGTGTTTACTGTTTTTCATTATGCAAACTAAGCCTTACAAATTACATATATATATATTCTTTGACATTGGGGGTTCAAAATCAATACAACCACCCTTTGATCTTACTATATTCAAAATTTGAACTTAAATAAAACCGTAACACACGAGTTCCTGGCCTGCTCAATCGATGTCACGACCATTGTTGAAGCAGCTGTCAGTCTTTCCTTAGCCAACGTTCAAGCCGCAGTTTTATGTAAATACGTATGTAGTGCACCCTACGATCATATGTTATCGATTAGTACCGTTCTATGTTTGAACTAAACGGGTTGAATCAAAGGTAAAGTTCTAAGTTCATACTGTATAGTCTCTCGCCATCGTAGACTATAAATTCCTCCACCTGTTGTAAGTTTCGTGCACTTTGAACACTTGTACTTTCGTTCCACGAATGCTCAAATAATCCACGTGCAGTAAACTTGTTTCGAAGTACACTTTCCGTAGCCGTTGCCTCTCTTGACCATAAAGGACGATAACGCTTCTTCAGGGTTACTCATTGATATGAATGACCACTTGCATCAAAGTCATCAATGAGTCAAGGGAAAAACTCCCATCTGCATCATCGCTTTGTTCCCTCTGTCTTTCTAAACTCTATGCACCCACGAAGAGAACACTATATGTATTGTTTTCGAGACATTCACGCCCATTTCGTATTAGCGTTCCGTTGCCTAGCAAATCGGCTGCTTCAACAAGAGGGTTTTCAGAAGGAAAAATACGTGAGCGTCATGTCCGCACCACCTTATGAAGGAGCTCCTCCCTACCAGGTAAAAGAGGTTGGAAATTTTTTTAAATTTGATTTTTAGACATGTTTTCTCGGGGTTCTTGAGGATTTACTATTTGCTTTTCTTACAACGTTCAATTATTTAGCCTTATCCACCTCCACCACAATATGGTCAACCTGCCTACAACCAGCAACCTGGCTTCGCCTATCCACCCGGTCAAATTAACCAAGGTTATCCTCCGCAACCTTATCCAAACGCAGTACAACAAAATTATGGTCCACAACCTGGCTATGGCTCACCGTATGGACAATATCCACAGCAGTATCCCCAACAATACCCACAACAACCACAAGTCGTGTAAGTGAAGGCCTATGATTCATCAATCTTGGAAATATTGCTTAGGTTTAGATGATTTTGGAGCATAAATACTTCCTTGGTAAATTTCGACCCAACCTAGCGATAGCAAATTAGTTTGAAGAACAAAGTACAAATGTTTTCACTTTCTTGATATGTTTAACTCGACGACCCTCAATCTCCTTTTGTCCCCACAAAACATCGAGTAATTGTATTGAGATGGTGCAAAAGTTCTTGCTAATCCAAAAAGGAATTTAAATTTTCAAGTACGAGACGTGAATTCATGACTTTGTGTCGAAAAATAGAAGATGGATGTCTATAGTTCAGATGTCTATCTTGAAATCAGCGTTTTAAAATAGACATCTGAACTCAACTTTCCATTGGCTAACCTTGAGAAACAAGCTTCTATAAAGGCTCTTCAAATTTCGTGGTTTTGAGTTTGGTCGTAAAAATTCCCAGAGTGCAATTAGCTAGGGAAAAGAAATTTTTGAAAATTCTTTTACTGGTAGTGGTTCACACATCTTATGGCATGTTTTGATCTTGCACAAAAATGCAATTACAGTTTGTGAATAATGTCATTATGCGAGAAAATTCCCCTCAGTTCTATACTTTCTCGGCAAAAGCACTGCTTGACGCTCAGAAGAAGGCCGCAGTCCATTGTCCATTAAATTTCTGGTCTGTGTTTAGATGAATAAATACGGTGATAAGAGGCTTTTTCACCCAAGATGACATCAAGAATTTCTCATTTCTACATTTTTATGCAAGATTGAAGTCTCCACTTGAATTATGGACTACAGCTATAAGAAAGGATTTTTGTTAGTCTTCTGATAGCACCATGATATTCTTTAAGACCAAACTCAAAATCGCTTAATTGAACTGCCATTTTTGGAAACTTGTTTCTTCAGTGCTAGCCAACATAAAATGAGCTTATGGTTAGATGACTCTCGTGAGCACTAATTTCTTCTTTTTTTTTTGATAGGGAGCTATGAAATCAGCTGTAGGGTGAAATTTATTTTATAAAAATTTCTTTTGAGTTGCACAAGAAGTTTTGCACTAACTCAATATTATCAAATCAATGTATTTCTCAAAACCTGCTTGCAACAAAAACTATGTTATTCAAAAAAACGTTCCTTTTCGATTAAGGTGGCGTGGAAGGTGAGGAGATCAATTTGAGGTCAATTTTTCAGTTTAATCGCACCCCACGTCCTTTTAAATGCGAACACTCTTTTGCGAGAGATTAAATTGAAAAAAAAATGAAAGACAAACTTTTGTTATTAACTTGCCACTTTGGTGAGTCACTCAATGTGATTATCAAGTGCACGCTAGTGTTAATGCGAACTGTCTACTCATGTCCAATCATCAGTATCTCTCATTCTTTTTTTGCATATGTAGAGATATTTATGGTTGATTTGTAGATACTTGCAGGTGACTCACACGCGGCGACACTTAGTACTTTTATAGAAAACCCACTTCTCAAGTTTAGTTCACGCTTATTCCCGTAAACACATACATCGCGCAGAGGAGTGGAGTATATCTGGGGGAAGGGGGGGGGGGGAACGTGTCATATTTCGCTATGAACATCCTTATTCTTCTTTTCGTGCCTATGTTCTAAAGGTCCTCATATTTTGACATTTGAGTACAATGGATAGTAGAACTTTGCTACAAGCTGAGATTTCCATTATTTCGTGCGTGCCTTCTTACTGAGATAACAATATAAGTAGGTGAAGGTTCTAATTTGAAAAACGTTGAAATTTTGTACGAAGAGAGTCATTCGTCATGCTGACCACGAACATACCATTTATCTTTGTCGTTGGGTTAAGGTAAATTCACGCTTCGTTTTCTACCCATAAGAAAGAATTAGAATAATCTATGGCTCAATAATAACGGGCTAAGGGTTGTTTACGTCTCTTTGTCTGTGTGTCTGTGTGCACGTCTGTCTGTCACGAAATTCGTAGAGAGAGAGGGGTGGGGGAACGAAAGCCGCCAGGTCCAGCCGCCTCCGCGGACTGCTGGTCCTGGAACGACATGCAACAACGCTGCGAAAGGACCAGCTGTTCGCGAAAGGCGGCTGGACCTGGCGGCTTTCGTTCCCCCACCCGAGAGAGAGAGTTCCAGCAAAGGTCTTGAGCTAGAATTTTGGTCATAGCACCCTATCAGCATGTAGACAAACTGTGCAGAAGCACAAGCTGACCCGATAAGTGGAACCTGTGAGAACTGTGCGCAGGGCTCGGCACGAGCTGGCACCAGAAAATTTTCAAAACAAAGTCCCCTTTGACCCTCAACGATATCCCCTCTAAAAACCTGGAAAATTCCCCAAAATCCCCCCAAAAACGAAACGTCGACTAAAATAAGGTCGCCAATTTTTAACGTGTCTTCGCTCACAAAAACGAAACCCCCTTTGCTTTTTGCCCCAAAAACGATATCCAGCTTGCCCCGTGCCAGCTGGTGCCAGGCCTTGACTGTGCGCCAAACGGACTCACGCGACTTTTGGCGCACCAAACTGGGCCTGTAATTAGTCTTTTTCCAAAGTCGTGGATTTGTTGAACAAGTAAATCCGCAGACCTTGCACTCCGGCCCGAAAAGTGAGCGAAAGGTCTACTTTCACGCAAGATTGGAGCCAAAAAAATAATCGCGTAGATAATCGTATCAAGGTTTTATCTAAGAAACAAAGAAGATTTTTGCTTAGGGATGTAATTCACGGTTGTCATCATTCTTATGGCAACTATAAAGCCATCATTATAACTCCAGCAACTAATTCAAACTCGCATTTGATCTTTTGGGTAAAACTTTGGTCCCTTCGAAATCACCGGTTTACATGAAAAAGCTTTTGAAATGAGCAGTTGCTTAGAGTTCATTCGTGATGATAGGCATTGCGCGGTAAGTTTCAAAGCCATCCGCGACTCGAGGAAGGCATGTGGATAGTAGAACCAGTGCGAGCCTCTGCGAAGCAGAGGCTCGCACTGGTTGGTGATATAAATGTCATATAACAAGGATATGAGAGTTACAGCCTGATTCCAAGATTATATAACTGGTTACCGTATACCCACCGTAGCCTTATCACAAGTTTGTTATGCGAAATGAATTTTATCTTCTATTCGCTAGAAATGATCATACTACAACTTTTGATTCGCTAAATATAATAACGAGTCTAATCATATGATCAGCACGTGATTCTTTTTTTTTTTCAGAATGGTCGATCAAAACCGACGAAACTCAGGAGGCGATAGTGGCAAATGCTGTCTCGTTGCGTTGTTAGCCTGCTGTGCAGGATGTTGTCTCGCTGACTGTTGTGATTAGGAGCTGAACCTTGGAGAACATGGCTGCAATAATTAGGGCTTTGAAGGCAATGGGCAACTGGGGTATCTGGACTTCCAGTGAGGATAGTGATAAGGCCTCCAACAAGCCAGTTGCTTAGGCAGTAGCTCATACGATTCATTCACCGTAGTCGCTCACACGGATTGTTCCTGTCAGAATTACGGTAGTGCACGAAATTTTGCAACCAAAGAACGAATCATATGAGTTTCCGCTTAGGCAGTGACTTTTCATATATTTACCCATAAGAAGCCCAGATACTCAGATTTGCTCGACATCACCTTCGAACGTTCCCATTTTAAAAATTTATCACAAAAGTCAATTTTACTGATCTTACGAGTTTTGTTTTCGCTCTTGTTTATAATTGCAAGCTGTGAACCTTGTATAACTTGCTCATTTCCTGTTACCTACCTGCTTATGTTATCTTCTTGTGCAATTCTATGTAACATTCCAAATACCATGCCTTTACAACTCTTGGTTGTGACCTTTGTTTCATTTCTATTCCTAAATAATTACTTCTCTTTTCCTACATTACAATGACATGACTTATAAACAATTCTGTTACTCGTGAAGTTTCGAAGCACCGAAGATGAGGATAATGTTTTTGATAATGGCATGATTTAATTGGTCAAGTTATAATTTTTAATACGTATTATGTGGTAAAATTTTGATTTGCAAACACAAACCTATTAATTTTAATAATTTTTTCTTCTTCAGCAAAGCAATGAACTCAATGCAAACGCGCTAAGTGGTTTTCTGGAGGAACTATAGCAGTGAAACGTGTAGTCTAAGTTTACGCTGTTGTAACTCACAAATCACTTGTAGTTTTGTTTCCATTTGGGCCACTGAATGCTGCAGTCATCCCCAAAAAATTTATCTTAAACTCATAGTGGTTGCTACATATCCTTTCGTGTAGTGGAATTATCTAAAGGGCCGGGCATACTTCACGCGATTTAAGTCGCGACGCGATTTGGCAATTCGCCAGAAGTCTTCAGATCCAACATTACCAAACTGCACATGCATAGTGCGCATAACTTAGTGGATTGATAAAATGTTTTACTTTTGTACATTTAAAATGTGCTTACAGTGAGTTATGGACTGTTGAAATACTGCCAAATCGCGTCGCGACTGAAATCGCGTGAAGTATACCCGGCCCTTAACCAGCTATTTGAGGTTAGGATCTATTCCGCCTAACTAAAATGTGAAAACTCTGCGCCACTTACATGCTCACAATGTAGGAGAGGCTTTGCGCTATCATACCTTGTTACTGCGGTCAGAACATTTACAGGGTGTCCCAAAAGAATATGTACACTGTTAATCGTCAATAACTCGCTTGCTTCAATGTTTTCTGTCGGTATTTAGGTACCATTCTGTACAATTTGCTCCAAATCAGGATTTCGCTGTGGATCAAAACTTTCGTCCTACTGTACTTTTACAGTGCCTCATACACCACCATTGTGAAAGGGTGTTTAATAGAAAAATCAAAACAAAAATCTGGAAAATTGTGTAGCAGGGTTTCCAAGCATGCTGATTTCACTTCTCTTTTTGCAAGATTTCTGGGCTCTTCTAGAGGTGTAATCAAAATCTAGAAGAACACTTAAAGACAGTACCTCGGCAAAATGAGGCCCGCGAGAAAACGACGCCGCAGAGGAGAACACCCCTTGATGAAACCTATGGGCCACATCCGACCTCCCGAAGCACACCCTAACCCCCCAAAAATCTAACGCGAAGTACACAGCCGCCATCTCCGCTTCCACCCCTCTCTCCGGTAGAGAATTCGTTACTGTTTTTCTAAAATAACTTAGAAGGAAGCATGGTCGTGGTGTGCGAATTTCATTTCAAAAATCAGCGACTCTGATCAGTCCAGTATAAAAGAATTTGGCTTGTTTAGTTTCATATCTGAGGCGGAGTGCAGCTTTTAAGGTTCAAAATATTCTGCATACAGTGACAGAGGGAGCGGAAATTCGGTCCATAGTGTAAATCCAAGTTGAAGCCAGCTCTACAGGATGTTATCCAAAGGACATTGAAGCAGGAGTTACTTAAGATCAAAGTGTGCACATTTCTTTGGTGCACCCTTATCGTTGGTTGATGCATGACCAATGCATGTTACTTAACCTTGAGGGGCAGAAAAAGTGTAGAGATATCTATGACACATATTATTTGATAGAGTAAAGCAAGCCCTACAAGATGGCGTCCAAACAAACTTAGAAAGTTTGATAAACGGAAAGTTAAGAAAAATCTGAAAATTTTCACATGCTCATAAATGGATTTCTGTTCAGAAAGCTCCCCTCCAACTTGCTCAAGAAAACTTCTGTCGCATAGCTATACATACTATGCACTTGCTGTCTTTTTTCCATGTCTAGAAACTGAGAAAATAAAATTCGGCATGTTTTAGCAAAATCAAAGTATATGCTAAACAAGTTGAAAGTTAGAGTATTTTGGAACGAAAAACAGATTTTTTGGTTTCCAAAATAATCTACACTTTCAAAGATTAGATCAAAGATCATGTAGATCGGATCTCTTGCGATTCTTCAAGTACTACCTTGAAGAGCTTGCTTTGCTCTATCCAATAATGTATTTTATGCACTTTTACATCTTCTTTGCTGCTTCAGGATAAGGAATATGCATTAATTCTGCATCTAATACTTCGAAAACAGCGAAATATGATTATTAGCTGCGTGCTACTGGCCATTTTGTTTTCGAGAATACTTGAAAGGCCTAAAACGCGGCGTTCAAATCTAAATCTCTTTTCTTTCTATATATTTTCCAGATGGTTAGTCCAGTTCAGTTGTTTAAATTAACCTCTAAACTCTTCCATTTTTCCTCAAATTGTGCCCAAAGTTTTAGCATACGTACACATGCTTTCACCTACGAAACTCAGCTGAGAAGAATACCGCACTGGATGTTCCTATCGGAGATTTCTAGGTGCGGTATGTACTGACCTTGCACGACCCTCACACTAAAAGACACGTTCCATCTCGTGTACCGTAACTCAAAGGGGTAAGGTAATGCTCTTCTACCATGGGTTCCATGGCGAGTTAAGTAGAGGTAATGTCGAAATTGTCCCTTGTGAGGAGGAGTCATTAGAAAAAGATAAATCTCGCAAGATTGCACAGAATTTTTCACGCGTTGTCGTAGTTGATAGCCTGATAACTACGACTCATCGAAAAGAACGAACTTTCCTTAACGGGTAGCATTTGCTGTACTCAAAACAACGATAAAAATACAGTGTTTGGAGCGACACAAATGTGATCCAATGTGTTCACTTACATGTTACCGATTAATACACCAGTGGCCGTATTCATCATTGATACCTTGAGGTAAATTCTACCTCCAGGTAGTTTTATCACTCATTATCAGCAAGTACCCGTATTCACAAAGTACCTTGAGGTAAATTCTCAATGTAATTTTGCTGATAATGAGTGATAAAACTACTTGGAGGTAGAATTTACCTCAAGGTATCAATGATGAATACGGCCACAGGAAAGCCCCCTTATACGTCATTCGATCCATCTTAGAATATTTTCGTCTACCGTCCTATTAGAGAAGTATAGGGGATTCCAATCTGAGAGTCATCGTCGGCTCGATTCGAGCCTCGCGAGCCACCTCGATCAGTCCACTGGACGCGTTCGCGAACGTGTAACGGGGCATTTTAGCTTGTCAGCCATGGTTACCAAAGGATACCGTATTTCGACGTCTCAAGCGTGGAAAAATACTAATCCACTGAATGCGAACGCGGCGAAAAACTCAAGCGAGTGGACTCGTGAGGACCAAGCCGCGCCGACCATGACACTCAGATTGAAATCTCCGTTATCTAATCTATGCTGTTGGGAGTCGTGTTTCAATCATGAGCAACGAATTCTCATAGGTCAGTGAGGGCTCTCCAACTTTGCGCTCTGTTTTACTCATTCCTGCGCCGATCCAAATGAGAAAGCAATCCATACATCATATGTGTTTACAAAATGGAACTTTGATATACTTAATGATAAAAGCAGCAAAAACAAACCAAATGTCATTTCATTCGGTGCGTTTACTTGATCATTATGCATTCTCCTTACGCTTACGGATATCCCTACTATGCCTCACCATATGACGATTTCTATGGGGCTCCGTACGGTTACGGCGGTTATGGCCCGGGACCATATGCATACTATCCGGAACCATATTACTATGGTGGTCCTCGGTGAGTTTGTTCGCGCAATAGGATTTGTAGGAAATTGTCACGCTCAGATTCATTTCTTTTAGAGAACTTCCTAAGCCACCTTGTTTCAGGAACGAGATCGTTGATAACTGTTGCCTGTGGTGCTTAGCCACGATGTTATGCTGTTGCTGCTGGCAAAACTTCGCACGCTGCTGAATCGGCTCTGTGGTTTCTTTCGCATCTGTATGCTCTTACACATTAAGTATGCTCAAAAGACAACAGTGAAATGGTACACAGCCACAGCAAATAAAACATGATGTTTATCTCTGCAAACATGATCGAAATCGTTAATACCAAGCCAACCAAGCCCACATTTCATGCATAGATTATTATCACAGACAAGTGATAAGCGTATAAGACACAATAACTTAAACAACGTATAGCAAATTTTTTAGTGTTACGGAATCTCAGATTTACACCTCAATCGCAGCTATCAGATAAGTTGTCTCTCTTTACAAAAATATCAACAGCAGAGGATGTCCGGAAGCGTAGAAACCGGTGTACGAATGAATGATGCAATAAAAAAGAAAGCTTATATTTGGCAAAAAAAAAATGTTTGTAACCCCGAGAAAAGCCTACAGTGGGGGTAAGAAATAAAGAAGCATCCTTCCAAAGACGGACCAAATTTGCAGAACACGGAAATAAATGCCATTTACCAGTCTTCAAAACCTTCCAATGCCTTCGATGTGGTTGACGCATTCTGTGGTTTAGCGATCACATTCGATCGTTGAGCTTTTCTTTCAGCCATTTCTTTACGCCGTGCCTCATTCCTTGCAGCCATATCAGCTCGACGGTTACCTAAAATCTGCACGCTGTCCTAACTCCAGAACTGAGAGACATCCGCTAAGCGGACCTTTACCCTTTGGGGTTCCCAAGCTAGACGTGGATGCTGGCTTGGCAAGCGATGCTGAACAATTCAGATCTCCAGATTATGGTCAGCTCTATGCAAACCGAACTTTTTAACACTCACACATGGTGTCGGCGCCCCAGTGTCCGCTGAGGAAGTCATCGTTGCCGAATGCATCCCAATCGGATTTTGGTGATGTTTTAGCTATAGAATACATTTAAAGCCAGGACTCATTCCCGCAAGTACGACATACCGGTCGAAGTTGGCGACAGTGTGTCCAAGTGTGGTGATGACGACGTAGTCGTTATGCCCAGCAAAGAGTCAATATCATTTGCTTGAAGCAGACGAAGTTTAAATAAAAACTAGCATTCAAGGAACTTTCACTTACAAGGATTTGTCTTCGGTTTTGTATGCGTTAGTTTTAACACACCCGACGACTTCTTCTCACCAAGATTGAGCTTTTTGGGTGTGACAGTTGCGCCTGCTTTGGGAGGTGCAGGTAGCTTCTGCACAAAGCCCAATAAAGCGAAATTAACCGTGATGACACCCTATCAAACCCACTGGAGCTTCCCATCCTATGTTCCAGTCATCTTCGACAGGTTTTGAAGCTGCTGAAGGTTCCAAAGCGTCCGCCCACTCGTCGGCTGAGCCAGATTCTAAATTGTATGATAATTAGGCTGATTGTGAAAAGGGAGCTAGCAAACCTAATTCGGACAGATCACCCCAACCGTCGAAATCTGACGTAGGTGTAGGATGGCTCGGTTCTTTGGACTGAGAAGCTGTAATTTGATAAAAGCAATAGCTGATTAATCCATTTGAGATAGTCTTTATATCTAATATGTACTATGAAAAGTACCAGTAGCGCCGTCAGCTACAGCAGGAGCTGTTGCGTTGGCATGTTCGCTATGATCTGCATTACTGGCAGCTGGTCGAACTTCAGGAGGTGGAGTACCTTTGTAGAACTTTCCAGAAAGCGATTTCAATGCCCAGCTGGCCCATTGTGGGACCTAAAATAGAGAGTTCAAGCTCATTCTCGTTGATAATAACAACTGCTGACCTTATCACTGTTTAATATGGACCGTCCTCCAGCCTTAACTTGAGCTTCAATTTCTGGAATGAGCTCCGGATGTTCGCTTGCTTTCTCTAGATTCTCCATGAAACCTTTGATGGCTTTGAAAGCCTGGTCACGAACCTAAAGGGGAAAAGGGTTTCAACACTGCAAGCCACGGTCTAATCACTTGCCTGTTTCTCAGGGTCACAAGTCAACGGTGCTAATGCCGGCAAAACCCTGTTGGCAATTTCGACCAGAGTATAAAACTGTTGGGTAGCTGAGAGAGCAAGTACTGCCGCCATTCTAGCCGGCGGAAAAGGATCCTACGCAAAATTCATTTGTGTAGATCAAAATAATTAAATGATAAATCATAATGACAAAATTCTGTACCTTCATTCCTCTAGTAAACGCGCTAAGCAATATCATTTGCCTTTTGGATGGGTCAAGGTAACTGCCAATTTTTCCTAAGCATATAGTGGTGTTCGTCCGTATACCACCGTGTTCATCGCCCCCTGAACGATCTTTTCTGCTGTGTAACATGCTGGAATAAACAGCATACCTTGTAACCTAGCTAAATATTTCATAAGCTCCACGTTAAGGTTATTGAAATTCAACTTTTCAGCTAAAGATACCATAGCCTTCACTGTACTCTCTCGTACAGCTGGCGATGTGTCAAGGAAACCAGAAGCAAGATTACTGAAACGTTGGCAGAATAGATAGGAAAAGATAAAAGTCATAAAAGTTACTCCAGTAAAAGCCAGTCACCTGAAAATCTTCTCATTTACTACTTGGGCTGATAGATGAGGAGCAAATTCGTCTATTCGTTCTAACAACTTCACTCGCGTAGTCCGATCGGGACTTCCAAACAACTGAATACTATTAGCTCATTCTTACACAACAGATAGAAAACTGTAATCAAAAAATGGTGCATATATGTAAACATAGGACTGAATCTTACGAAAAAAAGACAGAACATGTCTGCCGTAGAGTACTTACATAACATTAATAACATTAGATGATAATTATACATCAATTGAGTACAGAAAAATAACACGAAATAAATCAATCTTACCTTAACCAAGCACGGAACAACTCTTCGCTGATAATCATTCTCATCTAGCAAGCGCCCGAGTTTGAAAAGTGGAATGAGAATATTTGGGCCGGCATCGCCATATTCATATGTCTAAATGGACTACATTATTTTCAAGTTAAGCGACAGCAGTATCCACAGCAAAAAACCTGTATAATCTTTGGCAGGATTTTGTATTTGGCAATATCAGGCGGAAATATGTCGAGATTTTCACGCAAATGTGTGAAAAAAGGTTGCTTTTCGCTAGACTCTTTCAGTTGGAACTCCTCCAAAAATAATAAGGTATCCACAAACTTATTCTTGAAGTAGCCTCCTTTATGTCGAGCCTCTGCAAAAGGAACATCATAGAAAAGCGAGAAGCTTTGACATCGTTGCCATACCTTGAATAAGCTCAGCGACAGATGTTTTCGCAGCGCTAGGTGTAGCCATCTTTTTGTAGAGGTCATGCAGCCTTTGTGGGATCATCCCTGGGGCCTCTGGCTTGGTTACGCTTTCTCTGAATCCGTTGAAAACCTCCCAAAGCACAATCGCCAACTGGTTCAAGTCCGAGCGAGGCGAACTAGATGAGAAGCATCACATTCAACACTAAATATAGATTGTGGAACACCTAGAGAGCAAAGCACACACCTGAACTTAGTGACCCTATCGAAGCCGGATAACTTCCAGTCTCCACCAGCCGTAACATAGATGGATTTACGTACGTTTTCATGGCTCAAATTTGCCTCGTGCAGGAATTTCAAAGCATTCTTAAAAAATAACAATTCATGCTTTGCAAAAGTACCTCTCTGTTTTTTATCGCACTCGCAAGCTCTAAAAGTGGAACGCGCAACATCTCACGACCACGCTAACAAAATCTTCTACTTGTCTTGACTGACAAGAGAAGGTCAGTCGAAGTGGCCATTCCAAACAAGTTGCATACCATACCATTACCATAAATAAATAAATAAATAAATACCATTCGATAAGGCATAGAGCACTAACATCAAATCTGTCCTCCACATCTGCTGAACGCCTTTGCAGACTATGTTATTATGAGCAGTTTGACTGCGAAAAGATCGACAAAAATTGCGAAATCAAGCGCACCATTCCCCTTTGAGCTACCTTTTAAGGCACCGTCCACCCAAAGTGAGGATTCACGAGATTCAATGGCATACTAATGTGGGCCCCCACATTAGCCAACCCCCAAGTTTCGGGTGTATCCCATTACTTGTGACTGTCAATTATGCAGACGCCGCGCGCGACAGGCTGGCAGTGATCAGATCCGCAGAAAACTTGGTTAGCCCACTCGCAGGGCATACTGTTCCGTTATTTGTAAAGGTTTTCACATTTCCATATCAATTTTTACTGTTTAGAGGAAGTTTGGCCACAAAATTTGTAAAATAAAGAAAGATAGTGGAGGGAAGTATGGAAATTACTACATTCCTGATCACGAAATGTTTGCTTTCTGTTCACTAGAATAACGTGTCCCCTGAACATTTCCTTTGAAACATTTTCTTTGGCACTGCTGCCTCTCGCTCGGGTTACTGTAACACCGCGGTGCGACAAATTTCAATTGACACCCACAAGTAATGGGCGCCCCCCCCCCCCCCCCACTTCCACCCGTCCCGCTTTCTCCAAAATATGGTTAGGGATTCTCGACTTCATATTCGAAATCAGGGCCTTCAAAGCCCGGAAGCTACAAAAAAATGGAAGTCTAGAATTTGGGTGGACGGTGCCTTTAAAGGGGGAGACGGTCAAGAGGCGCGATTTCTCTGGCTGTCACCAATTCAAAACTCAAGTTTAGGGCTACGCAAGTCTTCAAAAAGCACAGACAAAATACATCGGCTTACTAGTCATCTAGATTTACCACTTGCTGAGTTTGAAAGCTTTCGCTGAAAATCCGACCAAAATAAATACAAAGTTGTTATTAATTGCATTTTTATGAGTTTTTGACCTTTAATATTTTCATTTTGAAACGCTTTTGAGATGGTAAGAATGGACAACTCGTGCAACCATCTGATATATCTCCCCTAAACTCTAAAATACTCCCAGAACCTCATAAAACACTAAATATATGCTATTTGCTGTCCAGCTGGTAATAAAAATCGCGCCTCTTGACATACACCCCTTTAAAGGCAGCGTCCAGGCAAATCTGGACCCATGGGAATTTTACGTGGAAAGTAATTTTGGGACCCTAACTAAGCCACTGCCTAACCAGCAGTTCAGATACTGCTCTAACGACAGATATTTCCCTCGAAACTGGACCCCAGGATCGTATTTCGCATGGACTCATGGTGCAACCCATCAGTTTCGCGCGATTCACGCGTTGCGCCATGAATCCATGCAAAGTACGATCCTGGGGTCCAGTTTTGAGGGGAATATCTCAGCCGTTAAAGCACTACCTGAGCTGCCGGTTAGGGGGTGTATGTCAAGAGGCGCGATTTTTATTGCCAGCTGAACATCAGATTCCACATTTTTAGGGTTTAATAACGCTCTAGAGGCCTTTCAAATTTCTGAAAAGGTATAGAAGATAGCTGCACAGGCTGTCTAATCTAATCATCTCGAAAAAGATCCAAAACATGAACTTTGGAGATCGAAAACCCATGAAAATGCAAATAATGGGAAATTCGTGAGTATTTCGCTCATTTTTGCAGCAAAAACCGTGAAACTTAGTAAATGGTAATTTCGAATAGCTAATAAGCTAAACCACTTTATCTGAGAATTTCTGAAAATTTGCGTAGCCCAGAAATGGACCTTTGAAGGCAGCGTCCAGGCAGATCTGGACTTATGGGGCTTTTACGTGGAAAGTACTTTTGGGGCCCTAACTAAGGCACTGCCCAAGCGGCAGTTCAGGTAGTGCTCTAATGGCTGAGATATTCCCCTCGAAACTGGCCCCCGCGAACGTATTCACATGGATTCATGGCAGTTTCGCGCCAGGATCCACGCTTTGCGCCATGAATCCATGCGAAACACGGTCGCGGGGTCCAGTTTCGATGGGAATATCTCAGCCATTAGAACACTACTTGAGCTGCCGCTTGGGCAGTGCCTTAGTTAGGGCCCCAAAAGTGCTTTCCAAGTAAAAGCCCCATAGGTCCAGGTCTGCCTGGACGCTGCCTTTAAGTTGGTGACAGCAAGAAAAAGCGTGCCTCTTGACCGTCTCCCCCGGTTAGGCAGTGGCTAAGTTAGGGTCCCAAAATTACTTTCCACGAAATCCCCATATGTCCAGTTTTGCATAAACGCTGCCTTTAAGTATGGGCCATATTAAGTGACCTAGCTGCATGTTGTAGTCCAACATTGAGCCGAGCATCTTCACATGTACGATTTCTTAGCAGAAAAATGGCCCTCATAGAACTTCGTCCACAAGTGCTCAGCAGATAAGAAATACAGATATAGAGTCAATGTTTTATGGTGCATCTAATGGTATGCAGATCTGTATTGGCCCTTCGATTTCTGACCATTCCTTCGTGAGTTATTTTAGTGTTCAGAAGAGATTCAAACATACTGGATATGGGGTTATGTCAAGAGGCGCGATTTTTATTGCCAGATGCACCAAGTAGCACATAGTAAGTTTTATGACTTTCTAAAAGTATTCAAATTTCAAAAGGAGATGTATCAGATAGTAGCATGGGTTGTTCAATTTCAATGCCCTGGAATCGGTTTGAAGCAACTATGAAGGTCAAAACATAAAAATGCAGTTGAGAACAAATTCGTAAATATTTCGGTCCATTTTCCAGCAAAGGCCACCAGACTCAGCAATTAGTATGTCAGACAGATAGTAAGCTAATGCAATTCATTTGGTACTTTTTGAGGACTCGCATCGCACTAAACTGAAGTTTTAAGCTAGTGACAGCCGGAGAAATCGCGCCTCTTAATCGTCTAACATATACAATTACTTGAGCAAAGATGGAAAAAATAAAAACAAGAACCATATGAACTCAATCAACTCACCATAACTCGGAAAAGTCCCCAGGACACAACAAATTCTTTCTGTTGCTCAGTAAGTTCTATATCCTTGAAGTAGTGCGATATAGGCATGCATTTCTCAGTTACTAGGTAGAAAGTGCTGTCTACCTGAAGCCAGAAACTTGTATCTCGAAAATGAAAAAAAAAACAGTGCAAAAAAGAAATAGGAATGACTTACCTCTATACTATCCTGATAAGTAAGAATATCGGGATGCCGCATGGTTCGCAACTTCTGCCCTTGTAATTTGAGCGTTGAATCATGTCCAGTTGACCAGAAAATGGTAGCCAACTCTTCCGGTTCAGCCTTGGCATGCTCTTTTCCCAAGGATGTTGAAGTTTGTGACAAGAAACTTCAAAAGCGTTACATTTATCGGAATTTACCTTTTTGAAGCTGTCACCGATGTAACATCCATTGAAAAATGTGCCAGCTCCCTGAGGGATATCGTAAGGGAACTGTGATCGAGGATCACGCGAGAAGAACGAAGACAATACAGAAGCCATTACATCAGGAGCTCCTGCAAAACTTCCCGACTAGGACAGGATGTGGAGGTACTAAAAGTGCGTTGGTCAATTCTTGTCTTGTCCCAAACGAAGAGTAATCCGTAAACCGCATATCTATTATATTGTAAATCGTCAGCAGCCACTTTAGATTTTACAGCGACCAGCCGCACATTAACAGGAAGCTTACTGCTTACGATTTAGCACTACTTTTGGTAACTATTTGTGGCAGAGTCACATTCATCGTAACATTAGGCGTATCTGATTTGACGTAAAGAATGCAAAAGCAATAAACATCAAGAGGCACGCAAATAGAAATGAACTTGGAGGAAGAATACCAGCAACAAAAGTTCGGAGAATGCAATGGAATATATACAGCTGGAAAGGTCGAACCAGTCTCAATATTGAGGTTTTCAAGGAAGTAAAGATGTTGAGCTGAGTTCCGGCAATTGGTGCCTCGATTTCAGTCAATTTGAAGCAGCTTGAAATATTTGTTTGAATTTATAAACTAAATAGAACGATAGTTAATGGGGCAAGCCAATGTCTGGCTCACTTTCTAAGAATTCAGTGGCTCGGCCACGTCAGCAGGTTTACAATAAAAACTCGAAGAACTACATAAGAAAATGGCAAACATTTCAATTCTTAATCTGCCTCTGAACAACTAATCCTTGAACAAAATCAAGAGAAAATTATGCATGAGAAAAAGGGGAGATGGGTGCAAACAACAACGTCTTTAACTAGGGATTAACAGGAACAATTGAGAAAAGACGGAGAAATCGATGATAATCTGGCACAACGGAATAAAGCAACGTCAGACACCTGCAATCATGATTAGCCAACTTCCCCTCCCTCAATACTCCCAGCATGTCAAAACAAACAAGGACCAGCTATGAGCAAATAAAATATCATCAAAATAAGATCAGGCTTGTCTTACGTTGCAGCTACTTCATCCAAATGGTAACCTGGCATTTCCCACACGCAAGCCCTTTTCCCCACTGTTCATGAAAAACGCTGATAATGAACCACAGCTTGTCAAAAATGGCTTGTTTTTATGAGATTGTAATTTATTATAGGGGAAGAGCAGATTTCAGCATAAGGTCCTGCAACGATGAAAACGCTTTTTGTGGTTGGCACGCGTCGCAGACCGCGTCATGATCGTCGCGATTATCGCTGCTGTCTCCTTCCTGCTGCGCACTGTCGAAGTTAAAAGCTCTTCCATTCTCTTTGCAGCATCTTCGTTTGAATCGTCTTCTTCTTTATTGGATACTTGTTATCATGTTTATGGCAAATCAGTGTTCAGATTTGCGTTCCAGGGCAGAAATGGACTGTAAGGTATATGTGGGAGGTCTTCCGAACGATGCTACATCGCAAGAGGTGAGTCACAGGTGCAGTTTTCTTATGTAGCTTAGCGGAGTGCTCAAATGAGTCTGTCCACATAATAACTATCTTGCGAAATGCTTTTAGATAGAAGACGCCTTTTATCGTTTCGGACGTATCCGCAAAGTTTGGGTCGCTCGCCGTCCGCCCGGTTTCGCATTCGTAGAATTCGAGGACAGCCGCGATGCAGAAGATGCTGTGAAGGCTCTAGACGGATCGTAAGTTAACTTCATCGTTCGCCATATCTCAGCTACATATAACCCAATACAATCATCTTTTCAAAGGAGAATCTGTGGTGTGCGTGCGCGCGTGGAGCTTTCCCATGGTCGCGGTCGCGGTGGCGGAGGAGGCGGTGGCTACGGCGGTCGTCGAAGCAGGTATGGGATATTCTTATGATTCGTCCCAATGTAGAAGTAAGTATAGAAATGACTAGCAACTCATATATTGTGCGTTCTAATATCTTGCGAGTTTTCATCATTTGTATCTTTTCGCTTGCGAAGTACTGAGTCCTCGTCCGAATTTCTAGAAGGTTCGGCAGTTTTTTGAACGTTTCCAACTTGCCCGTCATCATTCGGCCGTGAAGTCAGTGCAGTCAGAAATCGATTAGTGTAGCGCTCTCAAAAAGTTGGAGACTGGCTTAGTTTGTAGGCGCAGTTACTATTTTGCAAGTAGTGCATCTGAGAGTATCATGAAATACTTGGAGGCTGAGGTAGCATGCGGAACAAAGGTGAAAGATGCATTGAATGCAGTGGTCCAGGGAAGGAGTCGATTTTGTGATTCTTTTGCTTGAGCTTATTCGCTATGCTGAATACGAAAATTCACACTGGAGAGCCCAACGGCAAAAAGGGCTCCAGTGCAGGAGGGTTAGCTGCTGGGCGAGGTCTTCCACTCGCTGAAGTCATCTCCCAGCTTCAGAACGGTCTTCTCGCTTCCTATAGCCGCCCTAACATCGCCACCGGCCTAGTGCGAACGAATCGAGAGGGTCGCTTTGGAAGTTGGGAGGGTGACTTCACGGAGGGGAAGACCGTTCACTTACTGATTTTACGCTCTCAGTGGATTTTACGGGTTCAGCTAGGCAAATAGGCCCAGGCAATCTCAAAATCGACTGTTTGCCCGAATACTGCCTTTGAATCTCTCATAATGCGATTCAAAAAAAAAAAGCTTTGTTTTCGTATCATAAAACCGATATTTGGAGGTGGTTTGTGATGAGATTGTAACATTCAACAATAATAGGTCAGGTCCTTCTTGCTTTTATCTTTATGAGAGAAAACTGATTTTGCTGTTTGCATGCTATCTGAGCTCTACGCTCTAGCTCTAGCTCTATGTGTTACAGAAAAATAAAGTTCTGTAATGAGGTATTAGATGCGTGGGTTTTCTTAATGCACTTCTACATATAATTGAATTTACTTGTATTAAAATGACTTATACCACTTTAGCGGACTTCACTCGTCCGTCCATCGCTTCCCCTTCTCTCATCCATCTCTGCCCTTCACAACAGCAGCGCTTACATCAAAACCACGTCCATCTCTACACATCTCGCCTCGCTCTGTAAAAATACAGTGCATAAAATAGCACGCTCTGCGTGAGACTGAAAATCTGAATGTGTGTTGAATAAATACGTAAATGCGGCTGCACAATTCCTGAAAGTGTCGCTCAAGACAACATCGCGGCATCTGTACGGTAAGCTGGTCAGTTCGACCAGTCTACACATCAGCTGCGTCAGTCATCATATTGGTCAGTTATCCGCCGTCGAATGAATTCTTATATTCATGTCAAGCATTAAGTTTTATAATTTTTTAGTTACGAATACAGATCCCGTTCTCCCCGCCGTGATCGCGCGCGCTCTCGTAGCCGTGATCGCAGAAGTCGCTCGCGCTCCAGGTGAGTTGCTTCGACAGTTGTAGACTGCAAGCTTTGAAAGCTTTTATTATCCACATATTAACGTATGTTCATGAAATCACCATCAAATAAAGAAGGGTTTTAATTAAGGGTCTGCTGAATCTTGATGAGCTGATTCCAAGCCTATCTTCCATGTCTGTTGAGCTGTTCTTTGAGTGAAGTCATGAGCGTTTGAATGTCCGAATTTCGCAAACATTTAGTACCACATCTTCAAGAACTACTTGCTCAAAAACAGTCATGTGTTCGGTATATGTGTGCGTTCCTTGAGTCAGTGCACTCTAACCCATACCAGTTAGTCACTCCCAAGCTGATCAGCAAGTTACGCATCAAAACCCCACTAACTTCACACTTTGACCCATAGCTTCTTTCAGATAAGCGCTTAGCAGATATGGAAATAAGATTTGGAATCAGCTCATCAAGACGCACCTAATGATATGCATATTATTTCGGTTTACCACTGCGATCTGGTATTCTTCCTTCACTTGTGAGATAATACTAATAAGAAATATGTGTTTGTTGTCACAGTTCTTTTGAGACTGAGGGCTGCATTGAGAGATCATTTTATAGGTGTACGGAGTGTCAGGGTAAATTTAACCTTGCTCTATGCCTCATCAGGGTAGGTGTCTGCCAGTTACTCACTTTTTACAAAAGAAAAACATCGTTATTGCTCTAATAAATTTGGATAAGCATGTCGAATGCTTGGAAATTTGAGTGTTAGAGTGAGGAATGCTGGGCAACCCTTTCAACTATCATTAACAGATTCATGTCTTACAAAATGTCAAGAATTGTTGAACTAGTTTTTAAAGTTTTTAGGAGCCCTAACTATCGCAGCCGTTCGCCTCCAGATGAGGATCGCCGTTCGCGCAGCAGATCTCGCTCGCCTTCCCCGTGAAAGCACAATTTTTGCATGTTCCACCATATTGGCTATGTTTTGTATTATCATATAGAGCTATTTAGAAAGTAGCCAGTTATGCGGTTATATATCATATGTTTTGTTTCTCATATTCATCAATCTCCATCATTGTTACGTTGTATTTGTGCTCTCCGAAGTCATGTGAAACAGTGCGGTGGTTATTTGGTGTTCGTTTGTGTCCAATAAAAACTTCGATTCTCGTCTGCCAGTATTTCGGCTCTTAGACTTGCGAGGCGAGTTTGCGCACATATATTTTACGAATGCGCACCATACGCTAAGTCTCACTTTCACTCTGCTGCTGAGGTATTTTGTGTAATAAATTTGTAAGGGTACAAGATCTAGTCCGTGGAACCGCGTCACTAATAGTTTTCATCAGTGGCTTTCGCCCTTGAATTCTTCTGGTCGAAGGGATCATTCAGCTTGGTTTGCTGAACGATTTTCAGTTTGTTACATGCTATGATTTGCTTATCAAAGCCTACTCCACTGCCGCTGTGGAGATCATGAAAGAGGCAGGTCAGAAGATTTTCATCTTATAGATTTGCTCATCAGATTTATACTCGAATGCATATTGAATCGTTTTCATTGAGCGAATGAAGCAGGTGTTGAAGGAATTTCTGTCATTAACCTCTTGGTCTAATTTTCATGTGTCTTCTGTCAATCGCCACATCGCTTTTCATTTCGATGAAACACGATCTTGAACGACTGTGTGTTGTAAGTAATTAGCGATAGAATCAGTCATGAGCTTTTGATTTGTTGCATCCAGTCTTCTTCGATGATGCGATGCATTGAAGGGCAAAAGCGCATCTTGTTCTTTGTGTTAGAAATGAAATGTGCTCGGTATGTCCTTGGCACCAATTTTGGCCGGACTTTCATCTTTGGTTTCCTCCACTTTGTTTCTGTGAAAAAAAAACAGCTGTCAATTCTAGTTTGTCGTTCTTGAAGAACTAATACAGCGCTTCGTTTTTTTTTTGTGAGTGCATACTTTGGATTGATTCTGTAATCTCATTATTACGCGTTACTACATATGCGCAATAAAATTGCCTGGATATCATGATTTATATTAACTTATGAATATTTATATACTTTGATAGTCTCAAAGTAGGCGATGTTGAACAAAAATTGTCATCCGTTCCGTATTCATCTGCATGTTTTGTTCATCAGTCTGTGATTTTGTCTTGGTCGCTTACACCTACTGTTGAAATTAGAAATGCTTTCTTGTTGAACATCCATATCACTCACATATCTGTGGCTGTATCGCAGTATATCACTGTATCGACAAATCTGCGTGTTGGCGCAACCACATCCACAGGGCTTATCAACTGCAGAGTCGAGTGCACCACCATCTCCGCTCCCTCCACGGCCGCCTCGCCTGCACTATGCATCTCTTCCGCGAACATGCTCTCTTATCACTTTTACGCCACGAGCGTGAGAAAGGCGGAGCTTCAATCGCTTAGGCGTGCAGAAATGATTAGAGAGCATGTTTGCGAAAGAGGTGTAGAAGCGAGGCGAAGTGGCCACGGGGGAGCGGAGAGGCTGGTGCCTCCGACTCTGCAATTGATAGGGGGACGGTCAGGAGGTACATACGGTCGGCGCGATTTTTTCGCGAAGCGACGCCGCAACGCACTTCAACCAGTACAGTAGCAGCATTCTAGGTGTAACGTTACTTATGGCAACGAGTCATGTATCTGCCTCCACCCCCACCACCGTGTTTTTGCCGCCGGGAATCTCTGATAGTGGGGAGTTCTATGGGTTCCAAGACTTGGACGCGGCGTACCTCCTGACGTGCAGCCCAGTTGATAAGCCTGTGTGTGAAATTTTCGAGGGACTCCATCTCAGCCTGTATGTGAAATTTTCGAGGGACTCCATCTCAAAGCATCGGATTTGCATCTGCTTACAATTGATAACTCTGGCGTGTAATTTCGTAGCGAACAAAGAGTTTTTAATTTTTATGGGCGAGTCTGAAGATTTCCTTCTAGTAGTTAAATAACTTATAGGTTGAAGACACGTCCGTGCGGCTGGGAAACTGACTGACTGTTATTCTCACCAAAAATTTGTATTTTTTTCCTTTGAAGCATCGCAGTATATGTCAGCATGCTACGTCTAAGGTTTCCATGAAAATTGTTTCGGCTAGGAACGCTGATGACAAAAGAGTCAAACAGAATTACAAGCCAGTGGGACCGAAAAGAGTTGTGCGACTGCATTGAATGAATCAAAGTTTGGGCACGGAACCATGGTGAGATATATTATCATCCTTTCTTGAAAGTCTACTTTTGAGTGCATTATGAGGTCCAAGAAAATTAACACTTTTCTCTTTCCAAGAGTTTCTAGTGACATTTGCAAAAGCTGGGCTGTATAAGTAATAAGAGGTTTTAACGACGTCTGCAAAATGCTATTTTTCTACCGCAGTTATGATAGACTGAGAATAAGTGCTATGGTAGTATGAAAGTCTAAGTCTCATCCATGTGAATAAAGTTTCGACCATTGTGTACAGTCGTTCATGGTGATGTATAGGAGAACTGTCGTGCCATTCATCAAATTACCGTTTTTTGAGTCTTCACCATTGTTGCTTAACCACATAACTGAAATTTTATTAGAACTAAGACGAATATGATGATAGTGATTGATGATTTATGCGTCGTGTCATATCATCTGTCACCATTCTGAAATTTCTCCATAGACTTTGCTTCGTTGACGTCTTTGATGTCTGTCCCACGTGCTGGTGCTTTTTGCTTCAGCCGCGTCTGGCGTGGATCTAAACATCGCTGCAACCACGTGACCGCTTGTTTTTCCTCTTCTGCTGTAGTGATATCGATGTAGGAGGCGGGAGTTCTCTGAGCGCTTGACGCTCGACGTACTTGTGTTCTACATCTAACACTACTCACTGAAGGTGCACTTCTCGCGTATATTCTAGTTGGTATCAACTTGAGTTATATTCGAAAAATTGGCATCAAAACTTTTGTTTGTAGTATGTTTGTAGTACGACACCAAGAATTGGAAACTTGTCAGTTCTACTGCCTCGCCAAGTACCTTCTGTCTCTGTAACTTACCAGCTGATCGGCCACTTAGCTCATACTTCTTACATGACATGATGGATAACAGCTAGTGCTTGATAAGTCATGCGGATGCACCCAGCAAGTGCTTGAGTGTTAATCGCCCACTTGCTTGACCTTCGAAGATCGCATCAAATTCGCTCTTTCAGCTTGAAACTGATCACATGATACCATCTGTGTAATTTCTTGCTGTTATCTTTCTTCCATTCGAAGAGAAAATAGCTCTTGCAAAGACTTCCAGCTTCATCGCTTTGTCAAATCTGAGCTATTACACATCATCTATTCAGACAATCGCAAATGACTTCTGGGGAAAACTGAACATCTGAAATTTCCGGAGGGACACTCCTATTGGAGCTGCCAGGTATTGCGGGGCCCACCCACACGACCGTATAGGAGCGTCCGTTCCGAAAGTTTGAGAAATTTAGTTTTCCCCGGAAGTCACGATTGACTGAGATGTAGCCTGCGGCCTTTTCTCGCATATATGCTTGTGTTTTCGATTAATGAGGTAATTGCAACTACAGAATTTGTGTGGTTATATGATCTGGGTACAAATGTTTGACTTGAGGTCTCTGAAGTCGTATGAAATTCCAACATGAAATACAGCTCAAAATGCTACAAGAGATCCACTGTTAATTATCAGTGTTATCAAATGCCAAACACCTTCTGAAGACCAGGGCTCGGCACGAGCTGGCTTTCTGAAAAGGCAGAAAACGTCCTCCGTGACCCTAAACCATAAACGTAAAAAACCCTCAAAACACGAACGTTCACTAAAAAAATGTCTATGTTGTGTTTTTTCGGCCACAAAAACGATATCCCCTTTGCTTTTCACCCCAAAAACGATATCCGCCTTGCTCATAAACCACCTGTGCCGACTCTTGCTGAAGACTACGCGCACTTTTGGAATTTTAGTGCACAGCAGAATTACAAGTTTTTTTTATGAAACTTGCTAAAATCACGATTTGTAGAGTTTTCGGCTGCAGTGTTTGTCATTTTACCGCCATTTATCTATTGCCTAACTACAAAGAAAATTCTGAAAATGCAGGGCGCGGCTATTCCCGCACAAAGTAGATTTATGCTCCTGATTTGTTTCGGTTCGCTGTTCTGTAGTGAGAGTGATTGAAGGTCGAAGTGGAATAATTGAGGAGGCAAGGATTACTGGAACATTGTTCTAGTCAAGCTGTGAGAAAAGCTACCATAATTTATCATGTCTGCACTAGCTAACAACAAGTTCTTCCAACTCCCTCGCGCGCATTTCAGCTTAAAACAGTCCTCATGGCAAACACAGTTAACCACACCCAGTTGATTAAACTAAATTTTGTCAAGACGATTGTGGAACTTGCACCTTACCGTAGATCCACTAAATTATAGTGAATCACATGCCATTTATAGGAAAGGCTAGTCATGATAGCAGTTCATCCGTTTGTCCGCGGGTTTTCGAAACAAATAGTGAAATTTCGCTCGATTTCCATGTAAATCACTGTAGATCTTTTGAGAAGGCGTACCCAAGTTGCCCGTACTTGTAGTACTAACTTGGCTAAGTGCATGAGAAGATTTAGATGGTCTCTATTATTTTGATGCACTTTTCCGAACTAATGAGCTTGAGAATCCTTTCTTTTTTAGACACTTCTTCTTATACCTGTCGAGCTAATCCGAGCCCCTCACAGAGTTTTTTTTTGCGAAGCGTGCTTCGGATCGATTGAGAAAAACGCCGCGCTGACGCGATGATCACGTGGGTGCCGCTCCTTCAAAGATTGCGAAGTGGGTATTCCCGAATTTTTATTGATTTTGCGAACGTTGCAGCTTCTTCTCTCCCCCTTTTGCGCGCGCTCCGCCCCCTCATGTGTGCATTCTCAGTTTTTGATGCTCCTGCTGCCTTAGAACGTGATCAAGTGCAGCAATGACGCGCAAGCATGCTGGAGCGAGCTGATAGTGAGTGAAGGCAGTGTGTTTTGTGCGAGTTGTTGACGGTTGCCTGACGCCAGCGGCCGCTCGCTACCTCGCGAGACGGACGTTTTCTATTTTCCGCACCATTCACATCGCGTTAACGTTCATTCGTTCTTGTACTTCGTGTTGTGTAGTCGGCTCAACGTGCGTTTTTGCTGCGGGGAAGTTTTCAATTTCAGGGAGAGCTACAGCTCCACGAATGCACTATGAATCGTGAGGACATCGATAAAATCGCTGCATCGACTTGTATTATATTTCTTTCTGGTCTGGTATTGTTCCAGTCATGCCATCGCGCATCAACGATTTACTTCTTTGAGGTAAGAGTTCACGGGCAATTTTCTTGAAAAACTTCCTTGCTCTAAATCCCAGTCGCTTGTTCTGCTTCATCTGAATATACGCGATAACTCAAATATTTATTTTATATGAAAGAAGGATGGAGACCGCCGGTCACCAGCTTAGGGCAGCTCATCTAGAGTAGGTGGGCTGCCTCATTAGGGTGGAGTGTGGCAGCATTTAAGTGCGTGCTCGACAATTTATCGGTGGAAATGCTTCTAAATAGCCTCTCATGTTGTCTTTGATCATTCTTGCACATGTAAACTAACAATCTGAAGGGTTTCATCGGCTTATTGTCCATAAAAGGCAGTAAGACACGACTATCTGTTCACGATCTGCTTGACGTGTGTTATGATAAAAATTTGCAATCCTTGTTTACCGCCGTGGACATACATCTAGCAGCGAAAGCCGTCAATGTATCTATATAGATCACATAGGGTGACTGTATTCGCATATGGTGACTCTGCTACGGAAATCCACTATTGTGATTTCTATATGCAGTAATACTGAGATTGAGATCCAATTAGAGCACTTGAGATTGCAGCTCTTCTGGAAAAACTGATAGCATCACTCATTATAAGTCAAAGTGTGAGAAAAGAATCTCTCGTACCAATTCTGTTGCTGACGCTTGGTCGTTGAATTAGCTTCAGACGTCATTTTATAAATGCTATGAAAATTTGGTTTTACCGTTAGTGCTCTTCCACACCACATCTTCGTCGTTGTCGACAACGAATTCGCAACTCGGAGAACTTCCTGATTTTGTGGCACAAAAAATTATGCAACATTTGATATGAGTGCAATGAAGCGTGCAGAGTTGTTATCGTAATCGTTGAAAATCACGTATATACCGTCTTTCAAAATACACTGCGTGCTGCAATGTATCGAAAGCATTCTTTCAATGAAGAAATTTTTTTGTCAGTGACGAAAAAGCATTTGCGATCAAAAGGGAATAGCTTTTGTTGGCTTCAGAAGTGGAGTCGTCATGCACACTCGATAAACTGTAGAAGAAAAAACCCACTGCCTCTTTGCTCATAATAAGAAGTAGTGGATTTAGCTCACGTTCTTTGTTCTGGAAAAGTTCCGTAATGGAAGGAAAAGATTTACTCGCCTTCTTTGCAGCTACAAACGACAACAGTCATTTTTGTTGAACCAATACCGGCTCTTCTCTTACCCTTCGGTCTTTCAATCCTGTTATGGCTAGTTTACAAAGGAACTAAAAGGAGCGCAAGTTTGGAAGTAGAACGAAAAGCAATTATGGATAAACAAAAAGAAATTGAGGTTTGTTACCTTTCTTTATTTTTTATCATTTCCGTCATCATTTCTGTTTGTTCATTGGAAGTGATTGTATTGGTCATGTGGCGGTGACTAGTTTATCTTGTAACCGGTTTTATCACGAAGACGATTGAAGTGATTTTTTGTCAGCGATCGATGTTAGAGAGAAATACGAAGTGAAAAGGCGTAGGAAAAATAGGCATTATATGAGATTTCTTCTTCATTTGAATCAATAAAAGCAGTGCATATCACTGGGCGATTTTTTTCCTCGAGTTAATTAGTTTTAGGCGGCTTCATCTCCAGCATCACGGAAAACATCAAGGCAAGAAAGTCGAAGAGTTTCATTGACCGATGAGCAGACGTTCCGTCTCAAGCGTAAGTTCTGCTTCTCAAGTTCTCCAGTAAGTTTCGAAAGCACCTCCACTATTTTAATGCATATCGCCAAAGAGATTCGTTGTTTACCCTCTTCTATTCTGAAGTTGAAATAAATCCATTGATTGTATGCCAAGGTGAACGATAGCTGGAAGTAGGCATATTGTACTTCTGCGGTTGCCAATATGCCGCGCAGAAAGTCTTATTTTTTAAGCAGCATGATTTCCACTGGGTTGAAAAGTGTCGGGCAGTAACAATTAGGGCATACCGAGCTCCCAGCTATTTCCAAATTCCTAGATATCATCATAGCGTAAATATAGAACTCTAAAAATGTTTGACCTAGGCGACGCATATGGCTGGCACAAGCTATCGTTCATGTTGGCTGCCCCCCAAATCCATTAACTGGCCAGTTAACACGGTATAGTCCCCTTGTCTAGGTTTACTGTCGGACATTCAAGAGATGGACACAATCCACAGTCAGTTTGGAGCCCAGCCAGACAGCCGAGACTCACCAGCAGGTGGCCGGCTGAGTCGCGACTCAGCGTCTAGTACAGGAAGGCAGACACCTTCAGATGGGAATGAGGATGCACAAAAAACCGCCGAATCACAGCCGGAGAGGAAAGCGGCAGGAATATCACCGCGAAACAGCACTGAAGATTCATCAGGCGAGCATTCACCGTCAGTCGTGGGCAAGTCACGATTCACATGCACAAAGGTCGAGGAACCGAAAATCATCTTACCATCGACACATGGTGAATATGTGTACATGTTCAGAAGATTGTTCATGCGAGAACACTAGTAGCTAGTTTATTTAGTCTAAGACGTATTTTGCATGGAAACTATCAGTGTGAACTTTATGCTCCCTTTTTCATAGCAAATACAATACGCAACGCTTAGGCATTGCGCAGCGAATTTCAATCGAGCGGCAAATTTGAACTCTCAAAGATACGCAACGCTGCATAGGGTGCTTCGCTGCCATTGAGCTGATTAGAAAGGGAGCACATCGTTGACACAGACTGTACAGGGTGTTTGTGGTTTTGTGTAAAGTAATGCCTGCCGCTAACTGCCTACTAATATGTTTGTCATGCTTCCGGTCTCTGTAGAGGAAGAGGGTCTATTTTTTCAGTAACTATTGCTTAACAGTGCAAAGTATTACTGTTCTATGTTGACATTGGAATTTCGTGCATGCTAAGCCTAAGTGCGCATTTTAGTCCCTTGAGATGGTCTCTATAATATTTGTGCCTACTTTCAACGCGCGTCATTTTCACTTGCTTCTTTGCTAAAATTTTCTCTGTCACCTTGGACTGTACATATATTCAATTCATAGCACGCAAAGACTGCGGACATATCGGCGTCTCACTAATCGAGCGCTCTTTCGTTTTTCTCACCATCTGCTGCCTCTCTCATGCACTAACTATCTTGGCCGGACGCAGCGGGCCCATCTTTGCGTGTCATGAATCGTTTATACCTCATTTTCTATTTGAAACAAAATTGTTAGCAGTGCTTAACTTTTTTGCTTGATAGATAGGAACAGTTGGAGTAACTTAATTGTCTGATTATGAACAGTAGGTACTTCATCATATCGTCTTTCACTCGTTATTCTCACGTTCGCTCTAGTTCACAATCTTAGCGACAATAGTGCGACTCGAAAAACGGGTTTTTCATCTTCTTGGTGCGGTTTGAAAGTCTTAGGCCCCGGGCAGACTTCACGCGATTTGATCGTCGCGACTGAATCGCGACGAGACAACTGTTACAACATCATTCCATGCTGATCAACTTGCATTCTGTTGTGATACTTTTCCAGCCCGAAATTTTTGAATGTGAAATGAAAATGAATGGAAATCTTGGCAATTCAATCGCGACGATTAAGTCGCGTGAAGTCTGGCCGGGGCCTTATAGACGGTGTTAGCCATCTCTGGCAACTTACTTCTGTAAGCAAATTGCTTCATATTTGCTGTATAACAGCGTTGTTATCCACTTAGCTCCGCTTTAAAACTCTTGCACAAAACTGCGCATGTTCAGGCGCTGTTTTCGCATGAATTTTCTCTTCCGACATGGTTTTTTACTTGGCATGGACTATGATTGTATTATAATGGTTTGGCATGTCATGTGTGGATTTCCGATGTGCTTGAATAATGTGTGATACAAGACAATCTTCTTGTTTATAGACAGCCCGCATCGTGTGCAAACAGCTCCAGCTTCATTCAAACCGATTCTCAGGTCCAGAGGATCTTCGGAGTCCGAGCGAGGATTGCTGCCCAGGAAGATCAGCGGGCGTGAGTGCTATTACTTCTCGATAGTTTCCTTTTTTTCTTTTTGGTATGGCGTTGTAAAACGGTGATGCAAAGAAGGTTTTATTTTAGCTGCAACATTTTCCGGTGGCGTGCAAGCAATACCAGATGACTCTTACGGCTTGAGTCGAAGATCCTCAGTAAGCATGAGTAGACGCAGTTTTGCTGGAGCTGATGAGCTGCCAGATGACGACGACAGTGAGAGGGAGAGAAATGAAATCTATACACAGATTGGACAGGTAAGCCATTTCTATCTTTCACTTTTTGTTGGCATGGTTCCGAAATTCAGACAAATTTCTTCACCTACTCGTTGAGTGCGCTTAATCTGCTTCCGAAGAATAGACCCGGATTCCCAGAGCTGAAGTTGAATTTTTCTGATATCATGTCAGAATTGTTTTCCGTGCATCTCCCTGTTTGGGGATGTGTTGCATCTTTCTATATCGTGCTTCTGGAGCTATTTGGTGTGCACTTTGGTGAGTATAGCTTATCATTAAATTCTTTTCTGTTTACTGCTTGTTAATTCTAAGAGAGGAATCTTTAAAATCATCTACTTTACCTTGATCACTAAGTATCAATGTTTTTGATGAAAGTTCGTTTGCATCTGTCTATCAGCGCATGACGTATATGCTCTTCAATTTCTCTTTCATTGAAGTTTTAGTCTCACCAGAACTGCTTGTCGGAAAAGATTAGTAGTTCTAAGCCCGGCGGCTGCTTTTGTTTTTCTGTTTTCGTGGGTTTAGTCATTTATCAGCGAAGCAGGCGTCGGAGGTTTCTATGCCTGCACCGTCCACGTGATGAAGGAAGAAGATGTTAAGAGGGTTTCGATTGAATCATAATGACTGCAACATGTTTCTTGAAAGTAAACCATATGTCGTATTTATGTGCTTTGGCTCAGGAATATGAATGAGAGTAGATCGGAATGATCATATATGTACTAAGCTTACAAGGGAATGGTCAGATATCGAAGTGACTAATCTAGACAAGCTGCGTACCGTTAGATGCAGCATGAAGTGCTGACTCCAAATTTGTCTTCTTTATCTGCTTATCGCTTTCCTGGACAAAACTATAAGCCATTAAAGGCAGATATTTTGCTAAGAAATTATAGATGAAAGTGAAAATTTGGCCGTAAACAGCCAGACTCGACTTGATGCTGGGCCAAAACATGCAGCTAACTTATTTCAAACTCTCAAAGCCTAAAGCTGAGCTGAAATTGCAGCAATGTGCTCAATTTCACAGTTCTTATGTATGATTTTTACACAATAAAACTGCTTGTAGCTTCGTCCACAGAAGAGATAAGCAGATAATGAAGACAGATTCGAAGTCAGCGTTTCGTACTGCATCGATTGGTATACAGCTTGTTTGATTTGGCCACTTCGACTTCTGACCATTCCCTTGTTAGATAATTCTCTGAAGGAAATTTGCAATTTGTATACTTAGTTTTCGATCAGAATCTCCTTTGAATTCTAGCAATCGTATCAGTATACTCTAAAACGGTTGTTCCATCAGATTATGCATTACTATATTATGTGCGTTCAGCGTACTACTTTTATTATCATGAAGAAACGATGATCTACGCGGCCCTTGCGTTTTCTATCATTTTCGGATTATTCCACGAATTTTGTGGAGGATGGTTTACAAACGATATCCTTGCGTTTTCATCGATATACATAGCATGCTCAAGAATACAGGTAACAAAACTCATTACCTACAGGTATCTTTCGCTGAACAATGTGGCAATCTAGGCTGTGAGCTATCAGACGGGTGTAATACTACTTGTTGGAATGGCGTTGTTTGACCTGTTCTGGCTGTATGTTATAGATCTATTGAGTGAGTGTATAAATATTGTTTCATTGTTTTCTCAATTTTTTTCTCACTTCATCTCACTTAGTTACAGTCGAGTAGATTTTCCGCTAATATACTGTGCTTGCACTGGAGGTGAAATGCGGTAGAATTTGCGCGTGAACAAGTAGTTACGACAGTAATGTCAGCCTTTTGCGCGCGCAATTGGCCGGCGTCACGAGCGCAACTAATTGTTCACGCGCAAAATTTACCGCATTTCACCTCCGGTGCAAGCACCTATATTAAGCGGAAAATCTACTCAACTGTAATATCATAAGATGATTTTTTAGGCACTGTCACGCAGGAATCGCGGGCACCGCTAATGATTATGATCCCAAGAGATCATAAAGGAAATAAGCAGAGCCTTGCGATTGTTGACATTATCATACCAGGTGAGTCCAGCTTTCATAATTCTTTTCTGAAATATATACGACTATTCTGTTTAGGAATATTTCTTAATGTGGTTCAAAAGTACAGTTCTATGTTTGATCCGGGGCTATTCACTGTGACTTATGCTGCAGTTTTCGGTGCACTCACGTTGACGATGATTTTTGCAGTGTGGAGGTTAGTCTTGATTAATCGTTATGCACCTTTTTCGTGATATACGCTTAGTTTATTTCCTTACTGAAGTATGGGAGTCAAGAGTTAGCCAGATAAGGGGAGCGTAGAAATCTAAATCTCGGCCGTTATTTTGCTAAGAAATAGTGCATGCAATGCGCAAATTTGGCAGTACAGAGCCATGTTCGGCTTATTGCTGAGCCAAAACATGCAGCCAAGTTACTTTATATTCTTAAAGCCTAAAGGTGAGCTGAAAGTGCAATAATGTGCTCAATTTGGGGTTTTTATGTACAATTTTTTTCGCAATAAAACTGTTCTTATCTTTGTCCAGAAAGGCGCTAAGCAGTTGCGGATACAGATTCGAAATTGGCGTTGAATGCTGCATCGAATGATAGGCAAACCATTCCTTTATAAGATTCACAGTATGGGTGAATGGCCGATCGCTGCTCATTATTTGTGGCAACTTCTAGCATGCAGCGCATCATTAATAGGCTGCCTTTTTAAAAAAGTTTACAAAAACATCTGGAAAGTTGTGTACTATCCTAATATTATGATTACTGTTACCTTTCCAAATGTTGCCAAGGCTTTTCATATGATTAGTCGCATTGAGGAACATTAGAGATACTCACGGTGTATTTCGCAACTCATGATTAGAGCATTAGTGTAAAATGCAAATTTCTTTGGGGTCATCCGCTCAGGTGTAAGAGTTTTCAGGTTGCCTAGTTTGCTTTCTGAGGCGAAATAGGGCTTTCAGTACTTCAAAACTTTCTTCATAGTGTTTCCGTAATCCTTACAGTAATAAAGAACGATCGATGATTCCCTACTGCAAATCCAAGTTGAAGCCAGCTTTACAATATGATATGGCCGCGAAAGCGCATCATACAAGATCTTGAAGATCGTTTGATGCATTTTTGGACACCTTGCATATGCTATGAACTGAGTAACTTGCACGTTGTTAACAAATCTGGTTTTGTTTAGGCATAAAATCACCCCAGCACTTGTGTTGCCAGCAATTGTGGCCATAGTAGTATCCATGGGATTGAGCACACATCGACATGACCTTTGGCGATTTATGATCAAATACAAGCGACTGATGCCTACAAAAACTGCTTAGCTATTCCTCTTATTTCAATATGCTTGAATCTCCTACAATTATAAGCTGATCTTGGTTCCGTGCATCTGTATTCAATCTTATGAAAATTATATTGTCCTAGTATACTTAACTTGTTGAATTCCTAATCTTCCCTGTGGCATTTTGATTTATTTAGTCTTCTTCTTTACTGCTCTAATGCTCACTTTTATATTGTTTGCCTTCTTCTATCCATTTCTCCTCAATGCTTGCCGCATTCTTTGAATTCTCTATTTGCGTACAGGTGAGCTATGATGATGTTGACAAATTTAACTGGAAATGATCACAGTATGTAATATTTGATGAAGCGATCATTTTCAAAGTTGTAGACTCTAGAGAGATCTTTAGAGAGATCTTCTTTTTGTATTGTACAGCATTTTCAATAGTGATGTTATTACTTGTCTGTGATAACATTTTTAACAATATACAAATGGTTCTATGATTTGATAAACATATTTTTATATGTGCATCTACGTTTGTGGCAGTCAATTCAGCGCCGTTTGTCTTTTGAGGGAATCGGCAACGCGCTTTTTTGTGAGTGTAACTTCTTTCATCTAGATTCTAAAAAGGTTTTGAAGGTGAAATAGCACCTACATCTTTTCAGTGGATCAATATTCATTGACTTTAGATACTCAGTCAAACTTGTCTGTACACTTGATAAACATGTTTAAACCGCTTTTTTCTTGCGCCGACATGTGACGCGCTATAGAGCGAGAGAATAAATAGACAGTAAATGAGTATAAATGCTTTGAAGTCATGACTTCCACTTAATTTGGGAATTTTTTTGGTCGTGTTTGACTAACGACGCAATTTTCGCACGAGTGTCTATGCTTTTTTGACCTACTGTGAGTGACCTCACACGTTGACGACCCCGCCAATAGTCGTCGACGGGGCTATCGATCGCCTGCCTCCTCCCCCGTCATACCAGCTGGGTGAGTGTAGCCTCTCGCCGGAGGACCGGCCCGCCGCCCGTCACCGTCGGCTCAGTACGCGTCGCGGCTCAAAGGCGACGCGTGCACCCGTATACTCGTTTCATTAAGCATGAGAGGATTTTGCGCAACTATTCTAAGCTATCAGACGAAAAGTGTTTTTCAAACGTTGTTTCAGTGCGTAGATTTCGTTATGGCTCCGTTTGGCGGAGCAGTTCGCCAAACACTTTGCCTCGTGTGCTTTTGTGCAGATGGTAGACGCCAGACAATTGCTTCTATCACAACTATGGGTCAAACACTAAAATATGCCAGTAAAATATGAGCAGGCAAGGAGAGACCTATGCAGTAAAGATAGGCATGAGTCTATGCAGGCGAAAATTTTCCTCCATTTTTGATTGTCCGCTTCTTATTATTAGAGAGGATAGCACATGTATAAAAATAATGCAATCTGTTGCTGAGATCACGACTTTTTTTGCGCGGTCCGGATTAGACTCACTCGTACACCAAGAAGACAAGGCTTTATGGTTGGACAGGTTGGACAGATAGGATGTCAGTATGGCAATTTAGAGCCAGTGAGTCTGTCCACTCACATGCTTGTCCAGTCACGGGAAATATGGCATTAGCGGGATTCCAAATTTGTCCATAAGTTCATCAGCTTCAGTCCGAGGCAGAGTTCTGGCAGTAATACCAATCCAAAATTATTGATTTACATGTCGCTAAATGTGGTTTTGAGGCGCTACCTTCCCATCAAACGAGAGTATCGCATTCACTAAGTCACAGTAATCTCGCTATATCCGCTAGAATACCATTCGAGAAATTTTCGCAACAGACATCGCAACAAGGATGAACATCTACGATTTGTAGGCTTCACAATTCACGCTCATTGTCTGAGGATGACTAGTAAAGCGATGTGGAAATGTAGAGTCACTGTGCTGTTTAGCCTGTTCTCCCTGGTAGGATCACATGTTGTGCAGCCTCCTTTCCCGCACAAGTCTTGAATGGTGGAGTTTTATATAGCAATGTGCAAGCATTCCGCCTCTACGAGACTGGCGCTTTTCTAATATCCAGGCCTCAAATTTCAAAGCTGTGATTTTTGCTGGAACACAATAGATGGGCCATCTACCACACGTTGTTTACGAAATTTTTCCGACAACTTATTTTTTTCTTGCGTTGTGTGTCGGGGTCAAAACCACTGATTTGGCTTGGGTTGGTCTAAGAGGGTTATCTGGTATGCTAGATACAAACGGCATACTTATTTTTGCATAATGAGGCTTCTTCGTGGAATTCTGGAAGGTGTTCAGCATGAGGTTATAAATTTGCCGTGGACCTTGTCCTTTCCGGGCGGTGCCAGTGGTGCTAACTCTTTTTGCATATTTGCAACGCCAGCGCAAAAACGCGCTTCAATGATGAATTTCTGTGCGACGCGGACTGCGGCGCGTACTGAGCCGACGGTGACGGGCGGCGGGCCGGTCCTCCTCTCGCCGTTGTCGCTGCGTCGACGATCCACACTTGCCTGCGTATCGATCGCGTTCTTTAAAACAGGGATTTTTGGCGCTTTTCAAAATATTTAGGAAGTTTCGTATCTCTGTTCTTTAAAGTGTTTTGCTAGCTTCGGACTTTCATCACATGATTTTATATCTTGCATTTCGATGTCTCAAAAGAAAATACCGGTGGTTTTTTCTCAGATCATATCATATGGGATTATCTTCATGTTTGATTTACACCATCATATTTTCCCCTCAAGGTTTAGTGTGATTTTTTTTTACCTCTGGCAAAAGATTCTTTTTCTTCTCGCTATCACTCATATGTGCACAATTCAGGAGGAGCATTAAGAACTATGTATTTTCATGGATGCGGACGCTTTCAACTTTGTCGACTAAAAAAAAAGTCAATTAGATGCTAAGAGGACTGTTGTCTCAGTAGAACCCGCAAAGTGCGCGTTAAACAACTATAGTCGAAGTCATTTGCAGCTTGAAATGTGCACTGCACAACCCGCGTGTTTCACAACTGGTGTATTCAGCCTGATTTTTTTCTGCTCTTTTTGACCTCAAATAGGTAGCATGGAAATGACCATCTTTCATCACGACTTCTCGATATATCGCGATGCTTTATCACTAGACATGGGATTCATACCATGCAGTCTTTTAGACTGAGTTTCAGTAGCTTCTTTTATGAGTTCCTCGAATATGATGGTTTTGGAAAGGCTTGCTGCTGCTTACAAGGGGAGTTCGCTGGGTCGAAGCGGCGATTCAAGATGATGTACCCGAATGGAAGAACGTAAAACGCTGTTCTTAGATATACCTTCAATATCTGCGACGCGTTTCTCTAAGGGAGTCATGGGCTTTTTTTTGTACATATGATGAAAGTGAGATCTAGGAAGGAAATGACGACCTGTGCATAAACATGGCTGAAAAACACTCGAAAACGTTCGGATGCAATCGGATTAGACCTACTGCTTATTAGGTGGTTTGCTTAAGCCTGCATACTTCTGTGTAGAAATTATCATGAAATTTTGCGACTCAAAATGCACGAAAATTTGGCATAAGAAAAGCTCATAATTTTCAGAACAGTGCATCGCAGACATAGAAGTATATCTGAGATCAACGTTTCAAGCTCTATTCATTGGTATAGATAATTTCCCGAATCGCCGCTTGACTAAGCAAACTTCCCTTGTTAGAGAAGTATAGGCGACTCATCGCACGCGAAGAAAGGCGTCATTACACGCAGTCAGCGTCTCGCTGATCGAGCGTTCTTTTACCCCTCTTACCGTCTGCTGTCTTTCAACAAACGGGCCATCTTGGTCGGACGCAACGGCATCGTCTGTGCGTGCCATGAATCGCCTGTATCTGAAGAGCTTCAGGCTTCCTTGCGCCTCTGCCTACTTGATATGGCCTATGCCCAATTGCTCTTAAATTTTTCTTGGTAGGTTGTGGAATATATGTTTTATGTTCTAAATTCATGGCAAATGAAATAGCAAGTTTCAAAAAGGCTAACAGAGCTTAGCCCCGTTCAACGTCAAAGGCGGTGTAAGTCAGATTTTTGAGTTGATTCGGAAGTGTAGCATGATCTGGTAAATCTTCAGGTAATCTTAAACACGCTTTTGTATATCTTTCTTGTCTCTCCGATCGAAGTCAGAACTCCAAAAACTAGTAGTACACGTCCTTATTCTGCGGCAGACTTACCTCTTTCTGTTTCACGAATCCTGAAAAAGACTGCTCTGACCTGATATTTCACTAAGCTAAACCCATTATAGCTGAGATTAGATGAAAATGCAAGAATTCCAAATTGATCAGTGTAAAATACTGAATAAGATTTTCGTTGGATTTTCTTGCTTGTAAAGTAATCATAGGTGGGAGGAAAGGCTAGAGGCACGGGAAAGTCTGGAGCTCTCCAGGCACTTCTAGAAGCAGTTGCAAACCTTTGCTGCATCCTGCCTATTTCTACCGTAATACAATCCATGGTATTGTATTACGGTAGAAATACAAAAAGAATAGAGCGTCACATTATTCAAGATTACAATTTTCCGACTATTTTCTACGTCGTCGATGTCAAAAAAAAAACGTATCTCATTTTCTTTCGATGTTTTTTTGCAAAACCTCTGTGTTTCAGCATGGCCGTTGTAAATAATCCGCGTGAAATCACTACCATACTTGATTGTATCGACTCTATGGTAGATGTCCTGCAATACCTACATGAATCGCGCAGAAGACGCAGGACTTACGTTCGCCCCGAGCATGTCCCGTTCCTCGAGACGAGATTCCGTGATTTCGACGAGTATCTTTCGTCTCAGACCCCGGAATCATTTTTAGAGTACACAAGGTTGTACCCAGGAGAGTTTGAGGTACTCTTTGATCACCTCGGTGGACGCCTCCATCACGCCTCCACGCATGTGGCACCGATTGGAGCCAGGCAACGATTGTGTATTTTTCTCAGGTAAGAGACGTTGGGAAGAAGAAGAGGGGGTTGGCTTTAAGGGAAACACATAGCTGGATAAGAATAATGTAAGAAAAGTGTACACCAAAGTGTAGAAGGAACATGATAACTCATAATATCGAAATTATCTAGATATGTTGGCAACGGCTTCAATTTCACAAACCTCTCAGAAGAGTTCAGTTGTGGGAAAGCTACTGTATCAGCAATTGTCTCAGAAGTGATGGAGGCCATCATTGAGAGTTAGTTATTCTGAATCCTCTGAGTCTTTAGAGTTTAAATGCAACGCAAAGGCTTTAGGCGAGACTCATACTGCTTTTCCTCCTCTGACCAGGCAGTATTTGGAGAAAGCTGCAGCGAAAACTGAAGAGCTTTATGATTATCCGCGTGCTGTTGGGTTCTTAGATGGAAGACATGTGGCTATAAAGGTAAGAAAGGTTGGTATACAGGGTGTCCCAAAAATCTATCACATGGTTGATCGCTAATTTATACTTTTTGAACACCTTCCGTTCATCTTCAGTCCTATGTATGCAACCATGATTCAGAGATAATCGCCCACTAATTCTTCGCCAAGTACTGCTTAAAATATGAATGATTTCCATAGAGCGTGATGGCACAAAAAATTGACGCGCTTTATTAACGGATCAAAAAGCAGCCAAAATCGGTGAGAGAAGAGGAAGCACGAAGTTGCCTTGTATATGTTAAAGGACGTTTAAAATCAGTGTTCCAAGTTATTATAAAGAGCAGCTGAAACGTACAAACATGGAAAGGTTGTTTGCCATGATATTTACTATAATAGGACTAATATATTGTAGGACTGGTTTCAACTTGAACTTACTGTAGTAAGTGGTCATCGATTTTTCTTCATTACTCAGGCTGCGGTAAATTTCTGATAGAGTTAACGCAAAAAGCATAGCTCCAAAAAAGTTCGAAAGAGCTGGGAAATTTATCCCATGTTTGCTTTCATTGCTTATTCCACATACGACCTTTTCGGATTGTCCGGATCTCTAGGTTCAAATCCTGCGACAATTTTGCAGTAGCAGGCGATTCTCTGATAATCATCAAAAATTGGCGTATCACAACTGTTCTACAAACATGAAAAGGTTGTTTGCCATAATATTCATATATCTACCATAATCAGCCGTCCAAAGACCATAGCACATCGTTTTCAAACGTTCTGGAGTCTTTTGAGTTGCAGCTGTTTTGCACTGACGAAATTGTGCTGTAAGCTCCTACCGTAGTCATACAGTAATGAAGAGCGGTGGATGATTCGTTTTGTACTGCAAATCCAAATTGTAGCCAAACCTACACTACCCCAAAGATCTGCGAAAGTTCTTACATAAGATGATTAGCATCAATCAAACTTTTGATAGATTTTTTTTGGGACACGCTGTATACACGAATTAATTGATGGAATCAATTCGATGGAACAACAAGAAACGACAACCACGATGACAACTACCTATGATATACTCAGGACTATAACGTAAATTAAGTCGACTTGCTCCTCGTGTCCTTTTGAAAAGCAACAGTTTTTCGTCCTTGACAGTTTTTGTGGATCACAATTGCTCCTTTTAATACGATTAAATCGTCGTTTTTGATGATATTTTTGGAGATCGATAGACCTGGAGGGAACGATTATAATGAGTTTGCATTGAGTCGCTATAAAACCGCACTGGTACCTATATTTGGAAGCGTCACCGAAGACAAATTATATGTGCCTTTCTGGATACTCCATACGTGACAATAGGCATTGTGTGTCAGATCTAATTAAAATAAAATTTGGTATCTTGAAAAACAAGGTTTCCGGTTTACTCTAGTTACTTGCTTCTTCATCATATTTTTGAGATCAAGATTTACTTGTACAGCATTATCTTCGTCAAAAGTTAGTAGATCTTTTCTTAAATTCGTCAAAAGTTAGTAGATCTTTTCTTAAATTCGCTGCTTGCAGCTTTCAACATTACGATAAGAAAATCCGCTTTTTGCTTAATAATGCAAAACAAATCCTTCGAGAAATCATATAGCAGAGAATTTCAGAAGAGAACTGACAAGGTTTTTTGGCTTTTGAAATTAGTGATCAGCTTTCGTTGAATGTGGAACTTCTTATAAAAAAAAGTCTTGTTGAACTCATCATAAGAACACTTTTTTAGAAACCAAACGGATGTGCAGATGATTATTTGAACTACAAGAATCTCCAATCAATAGTTTTGCTGGCAATCTGTGATGCAGAATATCGTTTCCTTCTTTTTGACGTTGGGATCCCAGGCTCTCGCGGAGATACCAGCGCATTTAAAAACTCTAGCATTTATGTGAGGAGTTTTGATTTCACATGCAGTCACAAGGCCGAGAATTTTAGAACTTTCTAGACATTTCTCAGCGAATGTGATGATCTCTTCCCCGAAACTACGGACCTCGGCGGTGTTGGCCCAGTTCAGTATCATATTCTTTCTGATGATGGAATGGGCGACGGTTCACGTTATATTGAACCATTTTCGGGTCGTGCTGCGAACACTGGCAGCAAACAACGGTTCAACAAAAAACATTTGAGGTAAGACTACAATTTTCTTACTTTTTCGGTCTTTGATTTTTGCATTTAGTGCCCGGGCAACGATGACCAAAGCCGTGGAAATGTTACAACGACGGTTCTCCGTGCTTCAGAAACCGCTACAGCTAGAACCGAACCGTGGAGGAAAACTGGTGACAGCCTTATTGGTGAGTCCATTCGGCGTATTCATTCAATACACAAGATATTGCTATCGCGTGCCAGGTTTTCGAAATCCTCATTGTTCTCCATTATCAATCAAGAAAATGACATCATTCTCTTTGCCTAGTACAGACAATAGTTACGTACATCCAATGACATCATGCATTCTTCTCTTAGAATCTAATTGACTTTTAAAAGAGTACAACGCATATCCCTCAACAGAGGACCGAGAGAATTATATGAATTTTGTTTTTGGTAATATGGTCTGCTCACTCGTAAACTGCTATCAGAAACAATGTTACACAAAAATCCGAATTAATCTTGCCTTTTACATAGTTTCATTACCAGCTTTTGAAAAAAATTGCGTAGCATATCAAAACCATCCCACCTTCCCCCCCCCCCCTCTCCTCTTCGCAAAGGACATTTTTGATACTGCCGTCATTGTTCCTTTTCTTTTTAGATGTGGAAGAAAACATTAGAATCTGACTACGATGATATACCTCATAGTATGTGCAAAATTTCCGTGAATGTCGCGGATCGGGAATTCCGCGGACGTTCGCATTCCCGGAATTCCGCGACATTAAAGGCAGCGTCCGGGCAAAATCCACCCCATCGAGATTAGTATATAGTCGTCAAGCGGGGCCCAGGAGTATTCAATCTGCGTTTGTCCGATCCTCTGATGTTGCCTCTGAAAGGAGATACGGGCCTGTGATACGTATCACAAACCGCCCCCATCTGGACGAGTTGCCCATGCAACTGCATGAGCTTTATCGCAATGGAGCTGCAACTGCACTGCAGCTCCTCTTCAGCTCCTCTGCAACTGCATGAGTGCAGTTGCAGCTCTATTGCGATAAAGCTCATGCAGTTGCATGGGCAACTCGTCCAGATGGGGGCGGTTTGTGATACGTATCACAGGCCCGTATCTCCTTTCAGAGGCAACATCAGAGGTTTGGACAAACGCTCGAATACTCCTAAGCCCCGCTTGACAACTATATACTAATCTCGATGGGGTGGATTTTGCCCGGACGCTGCCTTTAACGGAAATTTTGCACATTCTGTGAGCGGTATTGTACTCATTGTCGGCCAAATTTCATTCTTTCCACATTGAACAAACATTCCGAACTCTCACTGCTGCTTTTCAATCATTTCTTAGGCAGAATCGTACAATTTTTTTCTTCACTGATTGTACCTGAGGCTTAAGGATCTCGCATAAATAAGTATGAGAGTGCTTAAAATCAGTTATAGCCATTCTTCAAATCAAGTCTTCGTATTCTTTACCATTGCTATTGTAGATTCTGCACAATCTCGTCGCGTGGGAACAGAACGTTGCTGAATATGTAGAGAGATACCCACCGATAGCGGACGCTTTGGCACCTCTGCAACCAACCCAAAAGAAACTCAGTGAGGAAGCCGCTGCGGCTAGAGACCGGATTGTTAAGCATTATGACAACCTTTACGGGGTGCTTGTGTAGACATTTGCATAGGTTCAGTTTTATAATGTTGATGTTTATGACGGGTGATCGTTTTATGCTTTTACGTGTATCTTAAAACTGCTCTTCTACAAGTTGTGACTCATATGTTTGTGAAGATTTGTTTGACTTCGTCTAATGTGACATAGTTGTTAATCTCTACTGAGTAAATCGGTGGATCAGCAACATAAGCACATATGCAATCACTGAAAAAAAGTGGAGATGCAACCTGATGGTTTTCTGGTCCTCAGATTTCACGATAAAAGGCCAAACTCTCATGTTGTTAAATAGGTACAATTGATCGGGTATAAGGAAAACATTATCATTTCTCAAAAATTTAGTTTCTGCATTTAGTTTATAGAAAAGTTTTCGTTGGCTTTGCATCAAGACTCTCATACATTGGAATTCTAATCTACATAGTTTTCTGGAAAAAAATATCAAGTTGGCTAGTGAAACTTCGTGCTTTTATTTTGTGAAAATGTCACTAACAATGAGCTTGTATTATCGAAAAGAGTGATTCAAGGACGGTCAAATGTTGAGCAAAAAATTTTTTTCGATTACGAGCTGGCGCAGGAATGGAATCCAAAATTTTTTCCCTTCGTTACTAGAAAATCTCGAAAGAACCTGCAACAGAATGCGAAGTGATTTGGATGCAAAAAGTACAGAAAACTATGAAGGCCTTTATTTTAATATTTGCATACGTTCATAAATGGACGAAGTCAAGCGATCCGGACTGCCCGAAAATTGGCTTACGCATACAAACAACAAATTCATTTTTTGACGAAGAAATTCGCTGATTGCCCAGAACCTTCAATGCGGTGCGCAATGTAGACAAAGCTTGTATATATCCAATTTACTGGCAAATTATAATGAGTTAGACGTTTGTCTGTCGAAAAACTGTGACCAGGGTTGAGCAAGAGGTCAGGCACAAGTCTTTCCAAAACGACCCCCCCCCCCCAGTGAAAGCCCCTAAACGACCCCTCTGCTTCACCTCCAGGACCTCAGGCTGTGATAATTCGAAGAGATCAGCCGTCTTTGGGAGGTTCTTGTTTTTTGGAGGCCTGTAGGTCGACTTTCTGCGATTGCACAGCACATGCAACTTGACGGCAAGTTTTGGATTTTGGATAGCCCTACTTTTAGAGCTATAATTCCCACAGGGGTGTATTGTTTGGCTCCAAATTTGCAGTATTGCAAGAAGAGGCTTTGAGTTCAATACTCATAGCAGAAATGGAGCGATTTTTAGATTTTGAAAACAAGTTAATCGGGTCAGGCGCAACCCCTCAAAAGCTCAGGCGGCCTGACCTTTTGTGGGGTTGCGCCTGACCCGATTAACTTTATCATGGAAGAAGCTTTTTTATTCAAGTTTTATGTGAATCGCTAGCACAACCCTCGAAGATTCCACAGTAAGTGTTTGGACTTGATTCGACTTGTTTCGGCCTTGTGGTAATCCGTGGAGTTGAAGCAGTCATGGCGAAAAACGCGCCGGTCGAAATTTTGGCATTATTTCTTACTCCACTATTTGCAAGCGATACGAAGCGCGATTTTTAGCCTAGACTAGTAGGGAACAATACTTTGTTACGAGTACAAAAAAATTGACTTTTCTCACTTTTGAAAACAAGTTAATTATGTTTGAAAATCACGCTTTTTAGTCGTTGAGAAACACTAGATAATGCAGTAAATAATGGTTTGTAGGGCTCATAGAGGTAATTTGACGTGCTTGAAAATGATACCCATTTCAAACAGCAAGCTTCCTTGATTTATAATATGTCAAGGTAGAAGATGAAGATTTAAGTTTTAGCCGAAACTTCGATTGTGGAATCAATCAGTATGCTGTTTAAGACCGTTCATTCCTTCAGTACTGGTGAGGTCGCGATATCCACTAAACTAGCGCTTTTCTTCTTCGCCTTAATCGTAATATCTCCTCAATCGAACGAATTCGATTCCTAATCACGACCCCCCCCCCCCTCTGTCTTAGCCCAGTACGACCCCCCAGGTCGGGCGCGCCTGACCCCACGCTCAACCCTGACTGTGACTTTTGGCAATGACCAGAACTTTCCTTACCCAAGGCAAAATACTTTCTTGTCTTTTATTGGAGTCTCATTTAAACACAATAACAATCAGTTCATAAATCTTTTGTAATCATAAATCTTTTTCTCACAAAACTCCAATGGCAGTGCTAAACGGTAGCTTTGTTCCGACTGCAACTCAAATTTAGGGCAAAATAAGCTCGAATATATGAGAGTTTTCAGGATCTAAGCTAACATATTACTCTGTCAAAGCTTTTTTCTGGTGGGATGTGTTATAATGTCATACAGAACCATCACTGTTTGCGGAAATGAGTTAATGGTTCCTCTTTCTATTTAATAAACTGTGTTCAAAAAGCTTTTTGGTAATTAGAGCCACGAAAAAGCCCTGGAAAAGTTATCTTTCGTTAGGTTCACTCTGAAACTTTCAACCAAGAAGCAGTGACATCGATTCCAGAGACATCAAAAGGAATCCCCATTCTTTCTTGTAAGATCTCTTGTGACAGATTGCGAAACCCGAATGTGTGTTGAAATCTCATCTTTTGCGTGCTTGTGAATTTTTTTGAAAAAAAATTATAAGCTTTAATGAGAATCGTCATCAGTTTAACACTTAGAATCTTACCGACTACTTGATAAAACCCACATTCAACCTTTGTGTACTTTAGCTCATTTCCTCTTGCCAACTCTATTTATGAAACGAAGTTATGCTGGTGCAAAAGGATGCCCAAGACAGGAATCGAACCTGTGTCGCCACGGCCACAACGTGGAGTACTAACCACTATACTACTTGGGCCGATAGCTTCACCCTGTGCAGTATCTCAAGACGGCGTGGTATTGGGATGACTTTGTTAAGAACTGCTTCAAAGAGGGGGAGGGGGCTGGGGCTATACCTCTGACAACAAGCAGATTCAATTTCACACTAGTCTAAGTTAGCGAAAGCACGTGTTTTGTTTAGTGGAAGAGGGTTTTCCGTACACGAAAGAGAGTATATTCAACGATACTAGTATAGTATACTCAATAGCGATCAAGATATCATATTGTTTGATGATTACGGTCGCGGGAAAGAGCTTAGGCAAACACGTCCAAAAATGTTATGAAATTCTCAGTTATGTTTCAAGCCGTTTGCAACTCAGGTAGGAGGCAGCAAAGGGCAGCCTTTGCTTCGGGAAATAAAGATATTACCGTAACAAACCTGTACGGCAAGGATAGAATACTGAATTTGTCTACAACATGTCCGGATTTCAAGATAACAGGACTTACAACATAATCTCAATGTAAAGCCGAACCTGTCCTTCTAGTGCGCGAAGCGTTAAAACTTCGCCAAAAAGTTGTCATCACTCGCCAACAACTTACCTCTCTCAAACGATGCATGGCAAACGAAACATTTCCTCGCTTCGTTACGAATAAAAAGTCGGGATCAACAGCCTGTTTAAAGATCACCCAAGAATACGCGGATTATATATGAACATCCTCAAGATAGTAATCAAGAAAAAGCAACGCGTGTTATGATCCAGTCTTCTGAAGTGCGAAGCTAAGGAAAACTCCTGTAGACGCTTTTCAGTGATACTGAATGGAAGAGGATTGAAAGAGAGTCAAAGCGGATTTGCGACTCTTTGCGGTCCAACATCAAATCTTCGCTTTGTAGAAAGTTCGAAAAACTCATGGGTAGAGGTAAGCAAAGTTGGCAGAGATGAAGGACCACCAGTTCTCCAGTTCAGTAGTGCAACAAATCCTATTCAGAACGAAAGAACGGCTAGGGCCACGATACTAGGTAACGCTCAAATCTCGCCATGCGCCTTGAATTGTTGAGCTTATGACCTTTATTCGCACCTACACAAAACACCAATGCGCGCACTTGCGCAATATTTTGGGATCACTGTTTGAGAGATCAGCTCAGGGTCAAGCTAAAGCACGATCAGACGCAAGCCTCTGATAATCTCTGTAGAAGGTTTATGTCAACAATACCCTTTCCGTCGTCCTTCTACAGAGAACCGGAGCCTTGCATTGTTGCAGATACTAAGTTTTGAATATTATCATTGGGAATTCTGAATGAAATTCTCAACGAAAACAAAAGTATCAAAATCAACTTGACGCGCGCGCAACAGCAAGGTATAAAAGTCAGACTGACGATGAACGGCACCATCCACCTTTTAGTCAGTGAAAAAGGGCGAGAGTTCGTCGTTATACCGCAAAGTCTTGATCGCGAAGTTACCGAGCTAAATCTGTCCGATACGATCACCTACAGATTTGCTAGTGAAAAAAATTTCTTTCACAGGCCAAGCGCTTAAATTATATCTAGACGATAGTAGGCGAAGAAGCGGGCCTCCACGAAACGTTTCTGATTCGACTCAAGATAGAAACACCATCATGCCCTCTGCTCTATAGTCTGGTCAAAACGCACAAACTTTCTTTGGCGGATATGCATTCAGTGACCGCTGAGACATACAAAATAAGACCAATTATCAGCTGCACCAACGGGCCAACGGATCGCAGCTCCTGATTCCTCAACAAAATCGTTACCCAACTTTTGAACAGAATACCGGCTCACCTAACCAACACCAATCACTTCCTTGTTCTGCGGCAAACGAAATTCAGTCAGGATTGCGCGGTTGAGTCATTTGATGTGAAATCATTGTATACAAACTATCCAATGAAAATGCTTTACAAGCACTCTTCGAGATGTTAGATTCGCATATCACATCTATGTCGACATAAGGCTTGAGTAAAGCACACATCATGACGTCATTCAAGGAGTGCTTAAAGGCAGTGGCTCGGCAAATCTCAACTTAGTCAAATTTGTGCTTATCTGGGGTTTTTCAATACGCTGATTCCGAAAATCCACTTTTGAAAGCTTGAAAACGGCGAAAACGAGCGTTTTTCAATGTCCTTCGCTTCGGAATTGGACGAGTGGAGCAAGGCCGATGACGCTAAATCGTGGCAGGACCCAATGGTTATAGCGTTGCGGCGGGCAGCCTCCAATGGTAAGAAGGAAATTGCCAACTCGTCCAGATGCGTATAAGGTTGGCCCGCGCGTATAACTTTGATAGCGATTTTCTCGGCAGGGAAAGCATGCTGTGCAACCGGGATTGCACAATTTTCATAGTTGGGCAATAAGGAACCTACCGCGTTAAAATCCCGAGTTGTTGGATTTT